TGACGCTAATGCATCTGGCGTGTTAGCACATCCGTCATTGAATCCAAGTCGGCGAAAATGCCGAAATCCAGAGAAGAATTTTCCACTGCAGATTTTCGAGAAATGTGTTTGAAGTTGCTACAATAGTATATATGAATATCAGTATATACGTCGAAGTTATGATAGTTCCAAACCATAAGATACGAATTGTGCGTGCGTTGGAACCATGTCTTGAAGTTCTCGATTACGCAACAGTCACAAGCCGATTCCGTCATCTACTAACGGCGGTCAAGAGACTATCCCCGCAGGCCAGTTCCCACTTTTGGTTTACGGCGATGCAATCGGTGCAGTGATAGAGGATTTCCGAGTCGATATCGGAGAGCCGATTGATCCGCTTGCTTTGCGAACTTGCCACAACTTCAATCCAGACAAAATTCTTTTACTTCAAATAAGACAAGGATGCTGCTTCAAGGGAAAGACACAAATAAAACATCGTTGTGCATCCCTTATAACATTGTAATCACAAACGTACCCTGCTCCCCGGTTTAGATACTATGCCGCCGGCCATCGGTAGATACCTCTATCATGAGTCCGGACTCTCCGCCGTCTACTCCGCGGGTAAAGATGCTTGGCTCATAATCTTATCGAGAAGTAGCCGCATGTTCGCATATGGTGCAATATCGCTCATCCTCGCGCTTTTCTTCGATGAGCTACACGTTTCGGAATCTCGTATCGGGTTGTTCATGACATTGACACTCGTTGGCGACCTTTTGCTCTCACTGCTCCTCACTCTTGTTGCTGACAGGGTTGGCCGCCGTCGTACCTTATTTTTCGGCTCAGTGTTGATGGCATTGTCTGGCACTATCTTTTCCATCTTCGAAAATTACTGGATCCTACTACTGGCGGCAATAATAGGCGTCATCAGTGCAACTGGAGGCGATATTGGCCCATTCCGGGCCATTGAGGAGTCAACGCTGTCTGAGCTAACGACTCCCACCACTCGTGCCGATGTCCTCGCATGGTATGTTACAACAGCAAGCTTAGGGTCGTCTCTCGGAACGATAGTATGCGGTCACTTTGTCGATTGGATGCGTGCCAAGGACGGTTGGCAGCTCATCGATGCATATCATGCATGCTTCTGGATATATATCGTTATGGGTGTTTTGGGAATGTTATCTAGTGTCTTGCTGACCAAAAAATGTGAGCTCGGCGGCAAGACTTCAATAGGTCAAACGACCGAGGCGGACGAGCCGTTCTTGGATGAGTCGTCGTCAGACACGGCTGTCGAAGAAAGTCAAGAAGAGCCCAAACCAAAACAGGGACGGTTTGCGCAAATATCACGAGAAACACGATCCGTGATGTTCGCGCTTTGGTTTCTCCTTATGATCGACTCATTGGCGGACGGTATGGTCGGATTATCGTTGACGACATTCTACATGGACCAGAAGTTTCATCCATCCAAATCCAGCCTGGGGACTATCTTGTCGGCGGCGCATTTTCTCTCCTCTTGCTCATCAATATTTGCCGGACCTTTATCACGACATATCGGACTCATTAAGACGATGGTGTTCACTCATGTGCCTTCCTCAACTGCTGTTTTACTCTTTCCGCTCCCACAAAGTATGGCACTTACGTTCACTCTTCTACTCATCCGCGTGGGTCTCAATAACATGGACCAAGCCCCTCGTACGGCTCTGATCGCTGCGGTTGTAAAACCTGAAGAGCGAACTGCTGTCATGGGAATCACTTCCATGTTGCGAACACTAGCATCGATATGTGGCCCAACCGTGACTGGCTTCCTTGCGGATAACGATAAGTTCTGGATTGCTTTTGTTGCAGCTGGATCTTTGAGGCTTGCATATGACCTTGGTCTCTTCGTCATGTTTGTAAATTTCAAGGTGAATAAGGATGAAAACGTCGACACGGAGAGTAATGGATACTCGCTTGTCGAGCAAAGGAGACCCGATGATGAGGAGGAGGCTGCTAAAGAATGATGCAATTGGGAAGAACAATATGTATTGGGATCGAAGTCTACATATACCCATGCTTTCAAATGGAGTCAGTGGTAATTAACAAATAGTCATACGCCTTCATTGAGTGAATGAAAAATGCAGCCTCGAATTAGTGTGGGCCATGTCAATGTTGATCATTGCTTCTACTAGCATGCCATCCCAGCTACGGTTATCGAATTGTTACTACCCGCCAATATAAATGCACCGCAACGGACAAGTTACAGGACCTTCGAGGAAAGTCCTGTGGCATTTTTCAGAGAACCCCGTAAGTGCCAGTCGTTTACGAAGCCTGACGCATATATGATCAAACATGCTCCCGTCGTTGATACCAGCCAGATAATCCGAGTCAATGATGAAGATCTCCCAAGGCTACGAATAGAGATGTCTGAAAGTGAAGGCCAGCTCGCGTCTCGTCGGAGTTTTGCGCAGACTGGCTCGCTGGTTGAGGGGAAATTCAGCTATAGCTCATGCGTGATCACAAATCAGCGAATCGTATCATGTCTTAGGCGTTGCACATGAAGATTATGGAATATAAGAGGAGCCTACCATCTGTTCGGGAAGAATAAAGGTGGAAGTAAACATGATCAGGGAAGTTCAATAAGATAGATCGAAGCCTGCGCGAGAGTTTAGCTGAAGTTCCAAGGAGCCACCATTGACGGAATATCAGAGTGTCTCGACACAAATCGTACACAAGACCTGGCTGTTTGCTGATATTCACTGCAGACAATAGGAAGATGAGTATGTTCACCATCTTGAATCATGTGATGCTATTGCTGTAGGTTTCCATCCCGCATTCATACCAGCAGTCAAGCGAGCATGCCAATTCTGAATTGTGTGTACTGCCACGAATATGGCTGAGGAACGTAAAACTCACGCCTTCATCCAATGGCTGAACAGTCCATAGCAATTCGATATGAAGAATCTACCGTCTTCCTTTTTTTTCGGCAAGTCGCATATGATTTCCGAAGGGGCGAGAGTTTCCGAAGGTGTGTATTCTGCACTGGACTTTTTGTTCGTAAAAGCATGCGCACCTGTTGGCTCCGAGTCCCTTACGAAACTGCAGAATGTCGTCATGATACTGTATTTCAACGAAATAAGCCATGATGGTGATACCTATCTTTCGATGTGAGGAATATGTCTTCGAAAGTCATTCTGGACGATGAAGCCGGACATAGACTGGACCCCATCTTGTTAACGAATGCCGACATGAGAAACAGCTCAGCAATTTCAACTTGAGCCTACCGACGGCAAAACGGGATCGTGAAGTGCTGAGGTTACATTGAACCTCGTCTCGAAAATAAGAGGACAATCGAGTCCAGAGTGCCTTTGAACCGGACTTGTAAGCCATCATTCGTTCGGGTATCACGGCATAAAGACTAGTCTCCTGGGCGATTTCAGAATAGCAATGAGACTCATTGGCGAGAAGCATCATCGGTGAATCAACAAGCCGATGTTGTGGGTTGTGCACTTTGAGGACCTGCATTTGATACAATAGGTGTGCCACCAGGGCAGGCCAGATGGCCGTTTGCTATTGAATGCATGCAACGATCTGCCTGTTGCTGAATAGGGGCACGGCAAGGACGCGATGATCGGCGTCAATTTGACAACATATTCATTCGGGCGGCCTAAGTTCACGAGCTATCCTTCCCCTGGATATTAATTTCTCAATTTAAGGTGTGCCGTCTCCAGGCTTTCCCCCGCATTTTGACGTTCACTCAGCTGTGCCTGGATAAATGAAGTTGCATCGTCCCAGCAATCGCCTGGACACCTGCAGACCACCATTTTTAGATGGTAACACGGCTGACATGCAGATGTCTTTAGCCTCGAGGTTTTCCTGTGGGTCTGAACCAGGACCTCACCAGACATGCTTGCCGTTGTCGGACCTGATCATCTTTCGACCAGCCGTACTTTTGCCACTCTTCCTGGTAGATCTCACTCCCTGTTTGCAGAGCCTCATGGCTAACCTGGATCAAGGATTCAAGATATCGCCATTGGAATATGGCAAGTTGAGTTAGAATTGTGATCAATGATCAGAAGCAACGCATTGATAACATACCATGACTGGAACTTCACAATTATATCACGATATACATTTCCATACTGCTAACACCGTAAACTTGAACACATTCGTATCAGCAATGCGCCTTCTGACATCATAATGTGGTATTTGCAAGAGCACCAGGTCTGCGGAAACTATGGAAACAGGATCGTTGAGGGTGGATGCTAATGTTCCATTGTCCCTTTCTCAGGGGGGAACCAATGAGACTCTGAAGTCCATTAATACGGCCACTGCATGTCCTCGTGGTAGAGGGGGACGGCAATCACGATCATTGGGCTCGGCTATCGCCCTGCTGGTAAAAGTTCAGCCATCCGTTATACCACCGGCACGGAGTCCGGGTCTCGAAGCCGTTGTGGGCAACTTCAATGGAGTCTCCGCACCAATCATTCGACGAGACAAGAAGATATTTTCCGTCTAAATTGTCGGTTCCCGTTATCTCAAGTGGAATGCCATTCTTTGTAAAATTCTGTGTCTGAGATCGACATGAGAATTTTCCCTTTCCAATAAGCACATGCGATGTTTAATTCATCTGGCTGTCAACGTCGTCTTGGCAAGGGGAGGCGAACTTTAAGGTTCTATCCTGAAGTCTGGAACCTGAGATGAAAACGGAAGTGATTGACCTCATAAGGATGTCATGTAAGTGGCATGTTTTCGGAGGCTTCATTGAGGTCCGTTGTGGTGGTACTTCACGTTGAGATCAAGTTTCTCGATACAGGATGAGAGAACTTGGACGCACCGGACCAAAAGAAATGCTTGAAGAGCTGCACAAGAACTGGAGAAATGAAGCGAGATAGAAAAACATAAATAAGACCCTTTCGCCCATCAGTATCGTTCTTTCCGTCTCCAGCACCAGCACAGCCCAGAATTCCTACATCTCCCTTCCTCAGATCTTTCAAGCTTCCTCAAGGCGCTTCAAGAGTCCACACTCTTCATCCCATTCTATATTCAAAATGAAGGCCGTACTTGTCACTCTTCTCGCCCTTGCCGCCAGTGCTCTAGCCGGCCCCATCATTGCAGAGCGACAGCTTGATACTCAGGCTTCTGCCATTGACAGCCTGACTGAGCAGATCAAGGGTTACACCGCCTCCATCAGTGAGTCTTCTCATAACAAATGCTTCTAAAGATAACAACGCTGACTATATCATCATAGACAAGACAACCGAGGCTGCTCCCAGCAATCCATCCCTGGCGGACCAGAATGCTGCCGCTGCCGCGTTGGCGCCCGACTTCCAAGGCATCACCGATGCTCTGAACTCAGCCACTACTCTGCTCTCGAAGCGTGACTTTTGGGTTGAGGAACGCGGTCTCTGTGACAAGACTTGCCTCTTGATCAAGGTCAAGATTCTGGTGTATGAGATTATATGCACCCTCAAGTTTGTCATCATCAAGCTTGGTCTGGGTAAGCGTTCCCGTCTGGTATCTTCAATGAGTTGGTCCACTGACCCCAAACCCCACGTAGGCTGTGTTCTCCTGTACCTCAAGCCCTTGATCATTGCCCTGAGCGGTCTCATCAAGTGCCTCGACAAGGTCGTTGATGGTCTCCTCTTCGCCGTCAAAGGCATCCTTGATGCTCTTCTCGGTACCATTGCTGGTGCTCTGTTGGGTCTCCTGTGAAGATACTGACATAAATATACTGACACCTCATGCTCTTATACTAAAACCACAGTCTGTATAGTGGAGACCGGTATTTATTCTGAATTCTGGGACAAATGACAAGCGAGCAACCACCAGGCTCTTTCCCCTTATTGTTCTGCTCTTTGCGTGTACGCATGGACTCTCGCTTTGGAAGTTAAGGATGCACTAGAGATAGTTGCAGATATGAGCAAATATGAAGTTATCAAAGAATGAATGGTTTAACTAAGCTATCCACAAGAATCTCTTGGCCGTAGCTATGCTTGCTAGATTTCTTAGGATTTGAGGTGCTTTGTGTTAAAGTGGCAGGCTAAAAAAAAGACGCAGGAAAGAGCTGTATGATACGCTCAGGCTTTGATCGTAGTTCGACGTGGGCATCATTACAATTATGATTATCCTTAAAGTCTAAAATTCGTGAAACAACAATTATCAAGAGGGGTATAGTACTAATATACGTCGACTTTATTGCACCATGCCAACTCCAATAGCGTTGGCTATGTCCTTGCTGTCCATATACTGACCAATATTCACGTAGCGAACTAACCAACTGACCTCTCTACCCCGATGGCCATCGCAATCCTTGCAACCTTTCCTGGCCATCTCGAGGCCAACTATGCCGTCCATGACACCGTTAGCGCCTCCAACAGTCGCGCCCAATCCGGTCCAACTCAGTCGCTTGCTATCCTTTTTGATGCCTGTCGCGAATGGGTTGTTAGCTATGGCGGCAAACTCTCGCTTCTCGGCAACGTCTCTGTCGATGGTCATGGTCATATCCAGGATACTCTGATGATCAGCGCCGCCGCCGAGCTGGTTCGGGAACAAGCACATGAGGTAGTCAGCAATGGACGCCATTGGTGCAGAACGTGCCGGGTTCCTGTGGCCGTCCTTGCAATCGATGACGAAAACACCGCCGCAAAATCGCCCAACCAAGTGCTCCTTCACGCTATGCAAGACTCCCATATGGGCAAATGGATCGTCGCCATGGGCAAAGTGCTCCAGATGAGGGCCTTTGCGCTCGGCGACGAAGTCTGAGTGGAGAGGCTGTTCCTTCTTATGTTCCCCCAGCGGGCTGAGGTACTCGGCAGCAGCTGAGCCAAAGGTGTAGATCTCCAGCTTTGACATTTTATCGGTCGGGACGTCGGCATGGAGTCTGGCGAGGGCATGCGAGAGGGGAATTGAGCCAATGTTGTGGGCGAGGACAACTACTCGATGGATGCGAGCATCCAGCAAATCTCTGCGTAGGTTGCTGTATAAGATCCGGGAGGCCAATGTCGAAAAGGGAAAAGACCGTTGCATTAGCATCATTAGGCAGTCGAAGAGGACTCCATAGGTGGGCATGCGAATTGCTGTGATAGAACGGCTGAAAAGTTTTGATAAGCTTGGCAGAATGATTGTAGACAACGACTGTGAACTAACGCTTGAAATCAGTGACATAGACTCACTTGCACCAAGATATACGGTTGCTTACCTTTGCGCCATGCCTCCAATGAAGAACCAACGCTCGTCGTTCATCTCTTGACCCATCATCCAGCCATCAGAACCTGCCTTGCAGGACAGGACCACATCCGAGCCATTTAACAGATAGCTCAAGCCCATGACCAGCGCCATGCACCCAGCGAGCCACATCATAAACATGACCCCTGGAAGTCCAAGCCCCAGCGGTGCCACAAAGAGAAGCATGTAGCTCTCAAGCACTAGCAACATTCCATGAAGGGCCATCGTCCGGAAATCTGACCAGCACCTCCAGTTGCGCGTCTCGCTGTTCCACACTGCTTTCATCAGACTCGGCAGCATCTTCGACACAGCCTTGACATCTCTGCGCATGAGAGCAAAGGCCGGCTGCTGCGCATTCGGTACAGTGCCGCATGCGCCGTCGATGAGCGGCGGCACGTACATGACCGACGACGACTGTTGTCCTCCTGGCCTGGGCGGGGAGCCGCTGCGCGGTGACGCCACAGGCGATGCTGCTGGCGATAGCCACGGCATTCTGTACGGGGATTTGCTGTACTAACAGGAGGTTATCCTCGTTGGCCGATGCAGTTCATCTCGATGAGACCCTTCCACTGGGGAGAGTCGGCCACACACCATGACAGTGGCGGCGCCTGCAGATATAAGAACCGTCAACAGTCTTCACATGGTTTTGTTTTTGTACCAGCAGGCGTGTTGACACTGGTCATTCCATCAGCAAAGGCGAGACGCGTTGCATCGATGTTGTATTACTCTTCTTTGATGTCTGAGATTTACATTCTTGGGCGAGAGAAGCTAAGTCGACGTGGGGGAGCATAAACGGCTGGCGCCTGTTCCGATTGGGCATGTTTCACATGAAAGACGTCTAACATTGCTGGCTCAGGTCAGATCATATGAAATACGCTGTATTCACCGCATCACCACTTCGTTCTTGGAGGAGATGCTTATTTACCACCAGCTCACCAAGCCCTCTCGCGAATGCACCCTAAGGCACAGCACAAAGAAGTATCAGAAACTCTCAGCTTCAAATATAAAACTGGTCCCACTGTCACCGCGCTCATTATATTGGTATACCACTACCACATTGAGTGACAGGTCGTGAGTCCTCACATGTCTCATGCTGTTGTTGACATAGTCTGGCTTATGACAAGCTTGACCGCAATGCGGCCCGACAATCAGGTCGACCACGGGTAGGTAGCGTAGCCGTCCACCGACTATGAATTAGTCCCGAGGACTCTGGGGAAGAAGAACGACGGCGTCCCGAGCATCCCGGTGAAAATGCTTCCTTAATCTGATCTATCGTTTGTTTACGTGCCTGAGCCTCCGTCAAATGGCATTCCCTAGACACGACTCCCCCCACTCTCGGATATTTTAGTCCGCACTAAGACTCTAAACGAGGAGGCCACTCGAGGGCTCCATTTGGCATGAGGCCGAAATTCACTACTTAGCAACCCATGGCTGCAGACTTTATGTTCTGCTACAGTATGAAGGTGGACTAATATAACAGAGCAATATTGTGATTTTCGTGATTGACATTGATGCACGAATCCTTGTAGAATTCGCAGGATAATAAGAGCTTGGCGATGACGGGCATACGGCCCTGGAGGGCATGAGGAAACGCCTTATATCGTCCTGAGCAAATCAAGCAAACTATCTTTTCAGGGCTTGATATGAATAGTGTGTCAGTCGAATCTCTGCTCTTTTCTGATAGAGTGATGTTCGCCTTGGAGACCTAAGCCTTCGAAACGTTAGGCTTGGTGCGGATATCCCTCCAGCCCATTCCCCATGCTGCTAGAAAACAGATCACTCCAGCTGCTGCGGTAAAGTAGAAGACACGATCGACACTTTGTGCATACGCCCTCAACACGCCCGGAAGGTCTGTTGTGTCGACCACGGCGCGGAAACCATTCGTTCCGGCGTCAATGACGTTTTCGGCGTTCACAGCAGGCGAGTAGCGCGCTATGAGAGACCTCAGGCTGTTGTTGAGGATAGTCTCGCTCAGACTGAGGTATAAAGCACCGAAGAAGCTTTGGCTAAACGTTGCGAGAGCCATGGCAATGCTGATCTGAGCCGGCGCGAGAGTATTTTGAATAGCAATGATTGGCTGTGAGTGTATTAAAGATTAGCCGTCAACAATGGAAGAGCGGGACGATGTGGTTTTGCTCACTATTTGCAAACCCAATCCACGGCCAACTCCAAGAAGGATTTGGTATCCGATCCATTTCCCGCTGGAAGTGTCCGCGGTCAATGTTGACAATAGGCCATTCGCAATTGAAACCATTATTGAACCGACGATAATCCACGGAAGATAATAGCCGAGTTTCCCAACTATGAAATTATTAGCTGTAGAAGCAACTCATCGTGCTGCGATGAGGACTCGCCAAGAAATCCGGAGACCACAGCTGAAAATATCTGGCCAAGAATGCTAGGAAGAAGGTATACACCGCTCAAGAACGGTGATTTACCCTTGACACCCTGGAAATAGACGGGCAAATAATATGACGTGGTAAACATCTGAGCCATGAAGAACCCATATACTATACAACTTGACCAGACAATGCGCAGCCGGACCATTGAGAAAGGAATCATGGCGGCATCACCTTTGCGGTGCTCCCAAAAGAGGAGAGCGATACATATGCATCCGGCACCGCAGAAGAGCCCGATGATCTGGGAACTGTTCCAAGCAAGTTTAGAACCGCCCCATTGTACGGCAAGTAGAAGCATGATAACGGTTGGAGCAAACAAGACGAAACCGCCCAGATCGAGCTTGACGTGAAGTGTGCGGACAACCTCGATGACCCTCGGTTTAGTTGCTTGATCGGGAACCTGAATGAAAACAAGCATAGAAGCTACGAGGCCACCAATGGGGAGGTTGATATAGAAGCACCATCTCCAGGTCGTGTATTGGGTCAAAGAGCCACCGATTAAAGGGCCCATGATGAGACCAAGATTGGAGACTAACATGTTCCGCCTTCGTAAGTAATGAATCGTCAACTAGTCTAGGCAATATAGCAACCTACCACCCATGACAAGTCCAAAGAGAGCTAGAACATTCGTTAGCTATTTAGTATGTCTGCAGTCACGAAGTGCAGCAGGAACTTGCTTGGTCTCTTCGCCATAGGGACACACCCAGCAATAATTGTGAATGCGCCGTTGATGAGACCCGAACTACCCATGCCGGCAACAGTTCGCCCTACAATCAATATGTGCGACGAGGCGGCGACGCCGCAGAGCAATGATCCAAGCTCGAAGAGAACGAAAAAGATTATGAAAGTCCACTGGATAAGTTTGATTGGTTACATGTTATCAGAAGCTATGCAACAAGGGGAGTTTACGAACCTTAGAACTGAAATACATAAATAGCTTTCCAGTCAACAATTGACACGCACAGCTAGACGATGTTAGCTACTCAATAACGTATTGATCGCAAGGGAGGGCCTAGATTTTCACCTTCCAAGCTGGTAGGCTCCTCCGTACCACCCAATATCGTCAAGGGAATGAAAATCTGTCGTGATTTGGGGAATCGCCTACCAAACTTTAGCTTCAACATAAGCTAATATTCATGGATACGTACAGTGGCGACGATGGAAGTATCAAGTAGTACGAGAACACAGACGAGTGTGATGGCGGCTATGATGTTCCATAGTTTAGGGCCGGATACCCATTTATGCTCATGGCTTTCAGCTAGTTTCGCTGATGTGCTATCGGATATTTGAGTTGAGCTACTGCCAACAGGGTCCTCTGTGGAGAAATTCTGTTCTTCTTTTGATGTAGCTCCATCTACACTAAGAGGCTGATTTGTGGTAAATCGTGTAGCTGCCATCGTGATATGAGGAATTGGTAGAAGGCACGTGGCTCTTAATGTTCTGAGGAGACCAGTGATATCTTCTCACAACCAATTTGAAATAATCAACCGGAAGTAAGGTCTCCCTGCAAACATATTTGTAGCTCGGTGAAGTGTTAGCATTGATACAAGCCGACAGGATGGCTTCGGATTTGGGCGAAACTCGAAATCCGAAAAACGAAATCCGAAAAACGAAATACGATCCATACGTCCACTCTAGAGACCTATGCGGCTAGGGACTTCGACGCAAACCAAATTCGTATTACATCTCTACTTGATAACACTCTCTTCCTGAACCGACGAGTAGCGATTTGAGAACCGTTCTCGTTCCCGAAGGGGATGATCTTTTGGCTTAGTAACCAGGGCCATGAGGCTAATAATGGCTGGTCCATGGTCATTAGATGCCCCTCGATCTAAGTCCTAATTAATCAATGGCTATTCCACGACACCTAAAATATGGACCAAAACCCATCGTTGCCGCCATCTCTCGGCACCCCAGCACCGTATGGTTACGCTTGCACGAGCTGCGCTCGCTCTAAAATCAAGTGTATTATTCGTCCGAATGGCGGTGCTTGTGAGCGGTTAGCAGAATTGACCTATTTCGACCCAAAACATACCCGTGCATCCTAACAGATGGTGAGTCCAGGTGCCATCGGAAAGGTCGAGAATGCCGACCAGCAGAGTCTATTCGCCGCCGCGGCAAAGGAAGTTGCATCGGGAGCCGCACAGGAACAGGCACTGCGACAAGGTCGGCCCGACTGGAGGCAAAGCTGGATGGCCTCATCTCACTCATTTCAGCGGCAGCACCAGGCGGCGTAGCCATAACACCTGCACAAGACAAACCTCCGATTGATAGCCCGGCGCTCCATGAAACCATTCCCCTGTTTGTAAATGGCGATTCAGCTACTCACAAGCTAGAATCAGTGCCATCATCGGGGCAACTTCGCGAATGTAACCATGATGTATCAGAATTAGCTACATCCACTTCCCCTTCAACAGGTTCTGCCTGTGATCCACCTTCTGACGCAGCTGAAGAAATATTGGGGATTTTCCAGACCAAGTTGAAGTACCTCCCATTTGTTTACATATCGCCCTCCACAACTGCCCAGACACTCAGGCGGGAGCGGCCATTTTTGTGGCTTGGTATCATGTTCGTGAGCTCGGGTTCAGCATCAGAACAACAAATCCTGGCGGGCAAAATCCGTCACGTAGTAGCTGAGGAAATGGTGGAGAAGTCCATGAACAGTCTGGACCTTCTTTTGGGCATTCTGGTATTCGTATCCTGGTATGGTTCCTTCCAGTCACTTGAAGGCCCTGGATTACTGGAGACTCATTACTGACAAGCTAATCCAGGGCCATGTACCAACCCTATAAGAGACCTTTCCTGGCCCTTTTCACTCAACTTGCTGGGTCCCTGGTCTTTGAACTGGGACTTAACAAACCAGTTCCCAAAGAGACACCGGTGACGCCCTGCGGAATAGCGAAGTATTCGAAACCCAGCACTTTTCGGACTATGGAGGAGCGGAGAGCTGTGCTTGGGTGTTTCCTGATTTCGTCCCTGTAAGTTCCGCACTCGGCTGGCAGACGACCTATTGCTTATGGGTAGTAGGATATCATCCTTCTTACAAAAGAGTGATGCGCTCCGTTGGACATCGCACATGGACGAGTGCCTCGAGACTCTGGATAAAACGAAGGAATGCCAGAATGATGTGGTACTGGTCGAACAAGTACGCTTGCAGCTGATTGTCGAAAAAACAGTCATGCCACATCCCGGACAAGGTGACTCTGAATTTGTGTTTCCACATTTAGCAAGCCTTTTCTCGCAACTGCAATCCCTCGAAAGTAGGCTGCTGGCTAATTTCCAAGACAATGGTAAGGCGCAGCCGATTCGCTTATCTGCTGTACAGTTTTGTAACTCACGTCATTGCAGAGGTGGTGCTCTTACACCTGCATAGTACACTTCTGGAAGTAACACTTTCATCCACTTTCTTACACACAAACCAGATAAGGGCCAAGCAACGGAACTGCCTCACCAAAGGCCTCGACTCACTAAAGTCATGGTTTGCAGTCTTCTTCTCGATCCCACCAGCAGACTACATTGGCTTCCCGTTTTCTATATTCTCACAGCTCATTCGCTGTCTCAAGGCGCTCTATCAGCTCAAGACTCTCGATCTCTTGGCGTGGGGTGACGTTGTCTGGGACTTGGCAGATCCTCTTCTCATACTTGACCGTGTCATCAGCAACATGAAACAGGTGACGATCTCTGCTGGATTAAGAAACGCGGGCACCTCAGAAGACATATTCTCCCCAGTGACACAGGTGTTCTTGTCTCTTCGGCCTGAGTGGGAAACTAGACTACAACCGGCTGACATGACGGTTGGGACTGCATCACTTTCTCCACTAGATACAGTTGAGACATCCTTGTTGGACTCATTTGGAATGAACTTCTTCGATGATGACTGGCTTACCAATGCCTTATCTTACAGCAGCGCCGAATGATATAGGCAAGCCACACCTTGAGCTATTTAAGTAGCCGGTTTACATGACTCGAACTCAATATCAAACCATCAAATGTGAATTCATAAAGTTCTCGAATCTTCTTCTTGCGTGCATACAACAAATGGGAGATGAATATGACTATATGAGCAGGTATAAGATTGTATACACAACAATAGCCAAGCCTCCAACACGTCTCATGTGCAATGCCATGCATGTCCCTTGACATTGAGTATTCTGTTTCCATGGTGGATCGAATCTCCCACCTCGTAATCTCGTTCAACCATCATCTCATCCATCATCTATCATAGCCAACATGTGTCTTCAAACGCCATCTCTCTCCGGTCTTGTAAATGTGTCTTCCGGCCCCGCTCCCCCTCCTCGCCATTCTGTATATATGTATGTGTATAAGCCAAGTTATGCGGTGGGTATCGAACGCCAGTTCCAATGTATGATATAATATGATATGATATGTGAGTTTGTTGTCGTAAATGCCAAGCAAGAACCTCCACCGCAGCGCAATGCAATTAAAAGAGAAAAGGCAAAATGCAGATCAATCCGAGACCTTGCGTCTGAGAAGAAAGCAAAAAAGGACAAATGATATGTGCGTGCCGTGACCACACTGCCGTTCTATTCCAGACGACGAAGTCATTTCGACTTCCAGATGCTCCACCAGACCTTCTTTTCCTTGCCACCATTACAGCTGCCAAAACCCTCCTTCTCGGCGGACTCCTCGCACTCCAGCTCCAGCCGGTAGCGCCTCACACTGCCCGCGTCGTCGTCGAAGCCGACACGCCGCCGCTCCCGCGGGACAAAGCACTCGGGCACCATATGGCGCATGACCCAGCCGCGAACGCCGCGGCTCGCCGCGTCGATGGCGGCGTACTCAAGACGGCGCGTCCGGTCGCTGGTCCAGTAGTGCGTCGTCTGAGGCGGCGGTGTGGGATGGCTCGGTGCTTCGACGGGTGGGAGCTCAGCGTCATCGTAACTGTAACCGTAGTCCAGATCGCCGGCCAGTGCGGTACTCGTCACCAGCACTGTTCCATCCACGCTTGCCCTTGTGGCTGGCCCAGGGACGGGGAAGTGGAAGAACGTGCTGCTATGCGGATGGGGCTGGTGCGATCGGGTGAGAGATATGGCTTGTGCGCCGGGCCGGGACAGGTGTGTCACCGGGCCGGACTGGGCAGCACGGCGGATCGACGGCCGCTTCCGGTGGCGGGACGCCGGTGAAGACGACGACAGGGTCGAGGACGTGCGTCGCCGGGACTGAGACTTGCGAGGCGTCAGAGACTCGTAGCCAGAGTCCTGGCGGCGCATCTGAGGCGCGGGCTCGTCCTTGGAGAACAAGGGCGGCGTTGGCGGGTCAGGATCGACATACGGGTTCACTGTTGTCGGCGAGCTGGCCTCTGTCGAAGGCTCGTAGACATCGACATCCTGGAAGCTGTGGTAGGTTGTGACGGAGGCGGCGATACTCGCCCTCGAGTGAGAGCGGGGGACCGGTGAAAGACGAGAAGACGACATATTTGTCTTGATGACGATGCCGTCTGGACCATTGAAGAGGCTCTGCGTGACCTCGTGAAACGAATGTCTTGAAAGTCCTGGATGACAAGAGACAAGAGGAACGGCCGTCTTTTTAAGTGACGGCGGACCGTGCCGAGGAGACAATGTTATTCTGAAGTGACAGACGACGAAAAGCAAGCCAGTTGCTGCGGTTATGGGCTGGTCACGTAGTGAGGTGTCTCTTTGATCGGGGGCTCGAAGTTGCGGTCAGTCTCAGTGGCCCAATTGAGGGTTGATTGTTTTGATGCTGCCGGAAATGAAGAGTAGCGAGTGGTGGGCCGTGAGGGTTTATGGAAGTATTTCAAGTGGTTCTCCGTCCACGCAGCCGACTGAGCTGGGTAAGGTCTGTTCAAACCCTTGAACAGCCAGGACAGAAGCGAACGGATAGCGTCTTCGAATTGAAGAAGACTGCAACAACAGCCAGTGCTTTATTGGCACGTAGCTGGCGTTTGTGCTGTTTTCAGTGTGGGAGGTGTCCCTCCTCGCAGGTCATTTATATGCGGGCAGGGGGTACTCTGCAGGATTCAAGTTCCCGTCTGGGTTAGGGGAGAAGCCTGGCGCCCAATCGGCGTGCTGCCAAGGTCAAGGTTCAGGCGAGTAGGCGTCCGTTACCGCAGCCCACTGAGAGAGAACCAGCCGCTGATGCAGTGGACGGGGATCTGTGAGCAGGGGAGCTTGTTCTGGATGTGCTTTGACAGGCGGAGAGGAAAGAATGAGAAAATGGTCGTGGTGATCGAGATGCAAGGCTCGGGCCACCACTGGTGAAAAGAAGATGTGCCTGTACACTATCGTGAATAATACCCCCCTCAATGAATCGAGAAATGACTGTTTCTTTCTCCTCTTTGATGCGACGGAGAGACTAGAGAAACGGCGACTGCGCCCACTTTGTGGAGAGACAGTGGGTCTGGAAACGGGTGACTTTTGTTGGGATGATCTGGCGGTCAAGGTCGACAAGCGTCCGGCCGACGGGTCAATACTCAAAATTCTAATTCTTTGCTTCTCTTCTTACTGGCGACGCTTGCTCCAGATGAGATGAGGTGCTTTGTCTCTAGACTCTTCTCAAAGTAGTCCAGGCACGACAAGAAACCAAAACCCCGCTGTCAGTGCGGCCTCTCTTCACCACTTAATAATACCCCACGCGGTGCGCCACCCTCAAAACACAAGTGGGCTGGAGGTGTATCTCTTTCAGTGGTTCACCGCAAATAAAGATGGCGGTCAACTGCAGAAAGGGACCGGAATCTCCTCGACGAGGTGAAACAGGCCAGACCAGGATTGAATGTTTGAGGAGCAAAGAGGATGTTCCAGTATTGCCCCTAAGACATCCAAAGAAAGTCGACAAGAGAGCAGTAGTACCGATGGAGCTCGCTGCACTGAGCTTGAAGCAGCGGGGTAGATGATAAGTGTTGATAATCTCGATGTATCTTGAAGGATAACCCAGGACTTTCTGCTCCGTCTAGTGTCTTTAAACTAAAGTGAGTCTTGGCCGATCAGCTCGGTAGTGAGGAAATTAGACTACCCGCTAGAGATTCTCGTGCAGATTACAGTTGACTCGGTTGAGTGTCGTGACCACCACCAAACTTCAACGTGCCTTCCGATGTCGCTTAGGTCGTGACGATCGCCGCGCTTGTGAATTCGGCTTCGATACCAATACCCCTCAAAGTGACGTTATTCAAGAATGGTAGGGGGAAATCACAACTGCCGTCTTCTCTTCTTCCCACTGCTCTGGTTACGCTTTTCACTTGCTTGCGTGTGGGCGTGTCGTAATGGGCGGGAATAGGCGAGAGCAATGAGGAGTACGGGTTGGGGCGAGTCGGCACTCGGGAGGGGCCGCTGGCTGCGGGCTGGGGCTGCGGGCTGATGGGGGAGATCGGATGCCCCTGCAGCTGCGTTGCTGGTGCAGTAGGCGGGCGGACGGGACTGCTGCCCCAGATGGCCTGGCCCGTATTATGAACAGAAGTTCGCGTGCTTCTCCCTTCTCCAAGTCTGGTCAGGTCGATGAAGAGGTGAAGAACGTTGGATGAAGGTGAAAAGAAGAGGGCAGAGTTGAGAAGGAATCGAAGTGAAATGGGAATGCCACAAGGAAAAGAGGGCAGCCTGCGAAGACGGAACCAAGAGACGAGGAGCCGTCGGCCAAAACTCAGAAATGACAATCACATGGGATTGCGATTCACTTTCTCTTAATGAGCAAAGACTGGCCTGAAGAAGAGTGCCTGTCTGTCTGAGTGTTAATAAGAGGGTGGGTGAGGTAAGATGCCACTCACCCCAAGTAGTCAGTCAGCTTCGCTGGCGTTCAGCCCCCAGTCCATCACAGCTAGCAAACTGCCAATGTTTGGCTATTTTAAGGCTGGCTGGCTCACTTCCCCATTCCTTTTCAAGGCGCCTTCGTTGGTGTCCAGTCGCTCGGGAATGGTAATATTTGCTTGCGTGGCGGGGGTTGTGTATCACTTTCACATGCTTTTTCTCCTGCTATTGAAAGCGGCCAGGTGCCACTTGGCCCATGCTCTTCCATGGTCATATTCCTGCTCCTGGTTCGTCTCTGTGTGCGTGTCTCCGTGTGGATTGTCTCAAGGGGCGCAGTTTCACTGTTATTGAGGGACCACAGAAATGGCGATTGCCAGCAATGCGCCGGCAGCTCGTGCCAATCAACGATTACCGCGTGAGCGGCAGTGAAACTCGTGCGAATAGCGGGCGCTGGTATTGCACAAGCTCCCCTGTTCGACACATGCCTGTGGCAGTCGGCCATAGTGTCATCCCGTGAGAGACCTCGTCATTGGAAAGTCCCTCCCCTCTCCAAATTCCATCCCGATCCCTCGGCGCCATTTGCGCCTCTCTGCGACGCCCATCCCTCCCGCGGCAGTCACCCGTGACACACCCTCCCACGCCTCGTCACGGCTGGCTGCTGCAATGCTGCCAGGCGAGGGACGCTCTGGGCAAGGATCCACGGGCGGGCGCTGGTCACGCTGCCAATCCTGGAATTTGAAGCCAACAACAATGGGCGATTGCGCTGCCACGGCATGTCAGAGCAGCAGAGGCATATGAAGAATCAGAGACACAGCGCATGAGAGAAACAAGCAGATAAGGATAACTGCTGGTTGTTCTGATAAGGCAAATCATATCCACCTCGACAAATGTCCGTCGTTCCTTCCCTCTCCCATTCGGCAAGCACTGAAGATGGGGTGCCGGGTCGGCCCTTGGTGGGTCTCGTATAACGTTAATGCCTAGCTAGGTGTTCGAGGCTACCTTCGATCAGCTTATCTCGTAGGTAGAAATACCTAAGTAGGTACGATGCTCCTATGATGGATTGGATTCACTCATAAATTATGAACCTCGATCCGAGTACGTCAAACAATATGAAGTTGGCAGGCGCTTCAGAGCCGTAGCTGTGTTTGAGGCGCTTGGCAATGTGTGCGACAATCCAAACGTAGGTGTCCACCAGGTGCCTCGGCCTGGCCCATTACTTATCACAATCGAGCACGAGTTCCTCCTCAACATGCAGCTCGTTCATAGAGAATGGAGGCAGAGACTGCTTTTGCGCTGGTATTAGTTCAAATATATTATTGGCTTGCGTCAATCTTAGTGACTGATTTCATGATTAGTATTACTATGATATGGAGGGGTTCTTCGCTTAAGCCAGTGTATGCGTTGTCTCGTTCTTGGCAACCATAACCAGACGTACTCTTGTTGTGATTCAACCCCGTGTTGTGTCCGCCCCAAATATAACATTGACGCCAACTCCAGATAACCGTTTGGAACTCCAGGTCTCTGGCCTAAATCTTGAAATTTTCTGAAACCACTCCATGCATCAACTTGTAAATTTCGAAAGGAGGTCCCCTTAGAGAGCCCTAATTCTCGCGAATGATTTTGCTGGCCTTCGGAAAAGTCCATGCTCCTCGCCCACCATGCTGCTCAAGTGTTCCTGGAGTGGTAGGAACTCAAAGCTGAGCACAAGCAAAGCAGCCATGATGCGTAACTCCTGCATTGCCAATTTTCGCCCTGCAAATCCGTCATGAGTAGAGTGACTGACTAAATAGGACAGAGGTAGCTTACCGAAACAGCCCCTGAATCCGCCTCCGAACCAAAGCGTGGGTAGAGTGTTCACGTCAAACATCTCATTACCCTTTTCATCTGGTGTGATCCACCGACTCGGCTCGAACACGTCGAGATTTTGCGCCTCTTGGCCATGTAAGCCGTGGTAACTGCGCTTCTCTATTGCCGCTCTGCTGGAGTCGGAACGACGCTCTTCGGCAATACGGAGAGGCTCCGCTTGAACTCGCGTGCTCAAGAAGACTATAGTTCCTTTGGGAATGTGACATCCCAGTATCTGGGTGTCGATGACCACCTCTCGCGGAACTACGCCCGCCGTCACGGAGAGGCGAAGTGTCTCCTCTACTACGGCGTCGAGGTAAGGGATATCGGTGTCTAATATCTGTGCCGCGGAAGGTAGTCCTGGCCCTGGAAATACGCGTCTCAACTCCGCTCGGAACTTGGTCTGAACCTGCTGATAGGCACTCATGAACTTAACGAACCAGGAAAGCGTATGCGACGTGGAGTCAGCAGCCTATGGTATCAGTCATGTTAGTGCTCAACCCAGCAATTTCGCGATTGCGGGCCAACTTACAGCTTGCAAGAGTAGCTGTAGCTCGCTCTGGAATGAAGGATCACTAGCAGGCGTAGGCATTGGCAGGCCTTTCTTCTTCGCGGTCAAGATCTCCCTCCGAAGGACCAAGTCCATAGCACAAGTGTCCAAGGCCTCATCATCTCCGTAGCCAGCCTCAATGGCCTTGTCAAATCTCTCGCAGGATGCGATGATGACTTTACGAATCTCTTTTTCCATCTCTCTCCTGTGCCTCAGCAATGCCGGTCGCTTTCGAATCCACCATCGAGTGATGGCAGGGAATGGTGACAAGACCACCTCCTCCACGACCTGGTTAATATATCCGATGCCCTCGCGGATAATGCGCCCTGTCACTGCTGACGCACCGACTCCATCTACATCAGATTCTGCTGACATAGCGGCGCCAGCCTCGTAGTCAGGCTGCATGCTCCGCATCTTTTCACGAATTAAACCCAAGTGCGTTCCAATGATAGCGGCCCAGATGGCATCTAATGCGGCACATTCAAAGTCTTCATACACATAAAACGCTTCACCATCGTTTTTCGCAGCCTTGAGGCGCCAGTACTCAACCAGATCAATGCCAGCGTCGTGCAGACGAGGTGCCACAACTCGACGCAGGAATCCGGTCCCCATAACATCGGACCACAGCCTTTTCTGCGCCTTCAGCTTCGGCGTGGTCTGCTGGGCAAGGGTGCACTGGGGCAGTACGATCTGGAATATGCTCGCAGTAGCCGCTGCTCGATCAAACTCTCGGTTTCGTCTTACGAGGATGTCTTGTACTTCGCGTGGGTCATTCAAGACGACATACGGCCTGCTGAAGGGCTTGAAGAATAGCTGGGCTATCGGTGATTGGATCTCATTGCAAATACGAAATAGTGTCTCTGAGGTTTCTTTGGTCATCCGTCGATAAGTCAAAATATCGGGAAGATCTCCTAGTAGTCGCTTGGCTGACTCCGGTTTGTAAGGAACACCTGGGAGAGCTCGAGGGTATGCACTTCGAGAAAGCCATACCAGGCCTCCGACTAGCACGAAGGTAACAAGGAGCCAAGCCGTCATTTTCTTCGGTTCAACTTGCCAGACGGCGGTGATATTTACTAAGATTTCAATTCTTGATGAATTGCAGAAATTGCATCAAAGCGACACAAACACCAGCTTGTTTCATCCCCTAAAGGAGTAGCAAAGCCCCCCTTCCGGGCTGTGCTTACCATTTTGAGGGCCAACGAGTCTCACCGTTGCCCGTGGGCTTTGGTCAGACAAACAAGAATCAATCTAGCCAATCCCGGACCTCGCGGCACTAACACACTTGACGACAGGGTTTAACGACCGTTGGTGCCGTCCTTTGGTGGAGCTTTACGAATTACCATAGGCGTATCGTATCCTACCACGTACCGACCATACTTAATCGCCGCCATTATAACGCCGCTCCAGTCGCAGTAGGAGCGGACTTGCAAGCAGTCTCTTGCCCGTTTTCGCCGTTGGTCATGTTGCCTTGCGTTAAGCTATGCATAAGACTGCAGGTGATCGCCATGCTTGATTCCTTTCTGCTATCTAGAATGGACAGATAGAGACGGAAATATTTGCTGAAGACAATTGCTAGCCTTACATCGGAGAGTTTGGTCATGCAGCAGTCGGTGAAGGCACCGAGGCCCATTCCGGCTTACCGACTTGTCGCCGCCTATTTTTCTTTTTCATCTATACCTATTGCCTTTGCCGTTTGAATATCATGTAGCGAGAAGTGAGAAGACCCAAGGACCATCATCTCAATAGACATACGGGGCATAATTCCCGCACAGCGAAACTCATTTTCACGGAGGCGAAACGTTTTGATCTATACTATTTGACCATCGCGCCCATTGCATCACATTAAGGACCTATAACCTCTCGCTCAATTTCATGGTTCGAACAGATTAGCAGAACTTCAGATTCTCCTATGTATTTATCGAGTCTTCTACACTTGGATGCCCAGATGATGATGTGGAATGGCCAAATCCCATCTTAGCTCTACCCTTTTGAAAAGCTCAATCATCTTCAGTCATATGGGTAGAAATCTTAGTCATATGCTTTTTGAATGCATACTGCTTAGAAACCTACGGATTGTAGCACACTCGGGCTTTTGTAAGCATTCTGCCAGAAGAGCCTCTTCTTCCGGAACTCTATACTTTTGCTCTGTTTTCGCAAAATAGTACACTATCCCGCTTATGGGAAACGTGACGAGATGAACACGGTAAGTCCCATACTTATTTTCTACAATCATGCATCTTACTCTCTCTCAAGTTACTGTTGGCCTCTTCTCCTTGTATTCTGCCGTCACGGCTACATGCGATTGCAAGCCGGACGTCACAACCACTGAACACTACAACCAGATCATCGACAACTACCTCAGTATCTGGTCCGGCAACTACAATCTCACTGACTCGACACTCTCTCCGGATGTTACACTCTTCGGCGATCGTTTTCCTTCTAGCACAGGCAACGGCAGTGACAGCCTCTCCGTCCATACCTCTCAGGATTTCCTCGGCTTTATCGAACGCTCACGTACCGGCTGGGACGAGTATGGATTTGACCTGTACAAATCCGCAAGCCAGGATCTAAACGTTGCTATACGTTGGATTATGTATGGTGTTGTCGGTGCGAACTTCACCTTAGTGCCAACGTATGTGTAGCCGCCAATCCTTCATCTTTGGAAGCCAATCGTATTCCTCAATTTCTGCTAACACGTGTGGACTTTGTCAGTACTTTGAACAGGGCGACACCGTTACATATGATGGCACCGACTTTTTGGTGCTTAATTCATGCACCGGTTTGATCGATGAGGTTCATTCCGCTCAAGATTTGGTAACATTCTTTCATAACTTGGGTTTGACGGGTATCACGGTGTGAGCTGGACTAGTTGACTCGGAGTCAAGACTGACTGATGCGAGCATTGCTTGGAGTGATGCCACCAGAGTCTTTCAATCGCAACGGAAGAGAACCCCTTCTCTGTCATCGTATAGGCAGCTACAAGAATATCCAGGGGTCGTCTGTGTCACTGAAAGGCCATTATCATGGCGTGAACTGGGAATATTAGGGGGCTCCTGGTTATCCCGTGTTATAGCTTGTGCCATCTGGCATAGATATGGCCCAAATCATCATTTGTCCAACGAATCCCTCCTATTATCTACGTTGAAATTAGCACAGATATGCTCGTACTACTGATAACATGGCGTCTCTTCATAGCGAGACAACGCGTGACGTCTATATGGAGCGTATAATCGGTCGCCGAGTGCCACCACGATTTTTTAGACTCAGCCGACTTTCAATAACCCTTAATTATAGGGATGGAAATATGTTGACATGCTAGGGTCTTAGCAAAATACCTAATTATTTTTCATGCCCTTAGGTACATAGTATCGACACAATATCAACACAGCCCTCCTCAAATTATTGAACTTAATTAAGAGCACGTCAACGCATATGAACAGGGGTATCATTGAACAGTAATCAGACAAATCTAGAGGCTTGTACGTTGAAAAGAGATTCCGGGCGCCGCCGGACTTGGAGACTCTAGTGAAGGTCTCGAATGCACCACCTGCGCGGCAGCAGTGGCGGCCGCTGCTGCCGCCTTCCAGCTTGCCCGTGTGTCCTTGCGATCCTCCTGAAGCAGTCGCATGAGCCAATTAATGGTCCGCCCTCGGCGCATCGCCTCGACTTCCTGAACAGCAGTGGCCTCATCGATCCCATCTGCAATCAGCTCCTTGATCTTGTCGTATACAAGCTTCCGCCGGCTGTACCACGTCCGAATCTTGGCCTCCGGCCGCCAGCGCGGGCCCCATGTAGCATCCAAAGTCTCGATAGCAGCCGGTTGATCCGGCACGCCGTAGCGGTATTCCTGCCAGATTTCTTTAACTGTATTAAAGGTCGTGCACTCTACAATGGGTGGTCCGTCGCCGGTTGGCTGTGTTACTGCTGGCAAGGAAGGCTGTGAGCCTGTAGCTGGAGCCTGATTAATGGCGGAGAAGGATGAGGCAGCAGTGACGGAAGCTGGCGTGCTGAACGCAGGTGAGGGCGACATCGTCATTTCAGCTTGCTGGTCATGGTCGAGTCTGGAAGTCAGCCCTGGCATGGGGAGTCCGCCGGGTGGGGTGGGCATTGGAAGACTCGTCGCAACCTTTTGTGATGCATTCGCGAGGTTTGAGACTGATAACGATCGAAACGATTGCCGAGGTGAGTGAGAGATTGTAGGGCGAGGTTGTGGGTTTGCTGGACGAGTCTGCTCTGGGCCAGCGTGAGGGATCTGAGCAACTTCGTTAATTGAAGTCTGGTTCACGTCCTGTTAGCGTTACGGTGATCGCCACAGATCCCATTTCCACCTCATAACTTACTTTTGAGAGGGATTGAAGTGCGGCTAGATTGGCTGTGAAGAAGGCTGCTAGAGTAGCTTTCAAGTCGTTCAGCTGGCTGCTAAGTGTCGCATACTGCCCTTTGAGATCTGCGACCTGCTCTGAGTAGCTCGACTGCAACTGCAGTACCACCTGAACCAGCTCATCTGATGACTTTCCGCGCAACTGATCCTCTGTAACGAGTGCCGGCCTATGCGACGGGATCGCGCCGTTGATCTGTGGAGTATCGTGGGATTCGACAGCTCGCCGTTTCATGGGGTTTTCGACAATCATGGGCTCGTCGTCAGGCGCCTCGCGCTTGATCGCCTTCATTGTCGCCAGCGAAGAATTAGAAGCCATTGTCGAGGAAGGGCTTTTGCAGCGAGGGCTTTGGTGAAGATAATGACAGCATATTCTGGTCGGACAGCTCATGCACCCGCATCATTGAAAGCCGGCAACTTTGAAAACAGCCTGAAATGCGGCAGAGTTAGAGAATCGCGTGGGTTTGCGACAAGTGTGGGGGAAGGCCCACAGGCACTTGATTAAATGACACAGCTTGTGCCGACGCCATCAATGGATCGCGCTAATATTAAGCTTTGCTGCAGGCGGATAAGAGCTTCCCTAGTCCGATAAGAAGCTCTCTCTGGTTCAAATGTTGACATCCTCACTGCAAAACCTCGTAACCTTTGAAAAAGAAAAAAAGTTCACACAATCACGGGACAGAACTCATCAAAGAATGGCGTTCACTTGTTCCCTTCGCAGCCACTTAAATAGTCTATTACTGCTGGAAGAAAGCCAGGTTTAGTAGTTAAGCAGCTCGGACAATGTGTTCATTGTGGTTGTTTCGAGGTCCTTTTTGTAGAAAGGTTTTTGGAAGCAAAGATCATAAAGGTCGCGATACTTCGGCTTATTTACTCTCTCGTCTCTCAAATCATAAAACCCGAGTCTCATCCCGAGTTTTCGTCTTTTTCCGGACTCTACAATCTCTACCATGGTTATCGACTCGTTGCAACACACAAAGATAAAGGAATCCCTACTGGGGAGAAGACTCAGTTCGATGAGCTAATTGCTAAAGCTGACGTAGATGTTTTTCACAACACAGCTAGAGACACCCCAGCTCGAGGGAATCAATCCCCTCTTGATAGACTCGCAGGCAAAAAACACTAGTAAGTAGTTGCACACTATTGGCTATTATGAACACGAATTTATTGTCACTTGACACACGCTACAGGAGACTCAGCATTCTATGCAGAGGATCCGCTGTCAGGTGGCTTTCAATCTCTTCGCCTATCAGCGGAAGCGCCAACCAGAATCTATGGCTGAAGAGATTGCCACAATCAATGAGTGTTATGCTACATACAGCTTGCCAGCCAGCAGAGAAGCGTTCTTTCGATACTTGGACACGAATCGATATTTGTGTTTACGAACTAGGCATATCATATTTTTGGTGGTCCCAGTCCTACACAGTTCATGAACTGCTAGGAAATTACGAAGAACTACATCGGGGACTTTATTAACTAAGATTCGATAAAGCAAACGAATAATATGTCTGGGATTTTGCCAGTAGTCACTACAAGATGGGTCGCATTAGTCAGTGATGTTATTAACAAGCCTTTTGGCCCCGTGTTCTTCGGCAATTTGATGCTCGAAACTAGACAGACGAGAAGGCTAAGTCAACCCCGTTTCTATCTGGAGATTCATGGCGCAAGGTAGCATTTGTTAACCTTCCTTCTGCCCGGTCGATGTGCATCTTGAGGCAGCCATGCCTTTGGATTGGTTGGGTTAGCCCTGTTTGTATCCGGAGCCAATTATGGCTGTGCCCGATCGCTTCTTATTCGCCCAGCTGATGCGCACTCCGCATGCAGTCACCCCCCAAGACGCAGTGCAAGGCTGCCGAACTGAGGGCCATTCACCTATCATCCTTGATTCGATTATCTCCCATCCAGTTGGCCTTAGCACAGGCTTCTGTCATCAGTGGAAGCTTATGGAGGAGCCGGAAAGGCTCGCGCCGCAAGTTCTCAATCTCGACAAATACACCTTCTTTACTTTAGCATTCTTATCGACACTGCCAAACACCGATTGGTTTCGACCTTCCATACTTACGCTACAGAATAAACAGCTAGGTTAGCCAAATGAATAAAACCCAACATGGAGCCATACGTGTACATGAAACTGAATCATGCAGAACAAGAAATTCGTCTGATGATTCTCGAGCCAGGCACCGAGACGGAGCCGATTGCGTTCAAAATCATTCATACCTTCCTCCGAGAGCCTAAAATCGTGAACCATGATACGAGGATGCCAATCGAGGACCTGCAGAAGACGCTACCGCAGGGCTGGACTGTCAGAAAGACCCTTACGGGGCGCTACATATTCCTGCCCTGGGGATCCACGAGCCTTATGGATACGTGGGAGCACCCTGATCCGACAATCAATAAGAGTTCTTATGAATGGACAGCCGAGGAGCCGGAATATGAGCCGCAATTCGAGGCCCTTTCCTACACATGGGGCGATGCCACATCTCATGTCACGGCCATAGTTAAGTCCCGTGATCCTAGAGCCCGGGACAGAACAATAAAGCTAGGAGTCAATCTCGCCACGACCCTCAGGCATCTCCGGTACGCGGACAGGACTCGCACTATGTGGGTCGACGCCGTTTGCATCAATCAAGCGGACGTAGACGAACGTAACCACCAGTTGAAACGCATGAGGAGCATCTACGGTCTTTCGTATCGGACTCTCATTTGGCTTGGTGAGGATTCCCAGACAGACAATAGCGCAGAGACGCTATCTAGGCTAGAGTATTTTGGCGATCAGGTTGAGTATACCACGAACCATACATATTGTGATAGTCCAGACGCGGAACAAAAGGGCTGGTCGGACGTAGGAGAAGAGCTATCATACGACAAGAAATCATGGGGTAGTTTGACGAAACTCTTGGATCTGCCCTGGTTCAGAAGAGTATGGGTTCTCCAAGAAGCGTTACTGTCTAACTCGCGAGCCATCGTTCAGTGCGGGCATATTTCAGCGCCATGGCATAAACTTCGGAAGGCCATCCTTGTGCTGTCGGTAAAACAGGCGGCACCGCCAAAGCTTCGGCAACTTCTGCTCGGGTACAATGACGGGCTTCAAGCTGTCGAGTCGACGGCGTTGCGACAGCTTCTCGCCTGGTCTAAGGACCGAAAATGCACCGACCCACGCGATAAGGTCTACGGGTTGTTGGCTCTAATCCCGCCGGCCTTAGCCGGCCGGATCTTAATCGATTACAGGTTGCCTGTCGCGGATGTATATATGAACGCAGTTTTGGCAAATCTTGAGTATTCAAAACGTCTTGATATGCTCGTATATTGCCGCATCGACGACAGACTGGACGGCGCACCATCCTGGGTCCCGAACTGGACTACTCCGTCTTCGGGATCGAGGCTAGGCTGCGGCCGTATTACCACCTCAGCACACGTGCCAGCGGAGGCTCAATACCTGGCGCCTAGAATTCTAGAGGTGACGGGCTTGAAGGGCGGTACAGTTTTATCTACTAGTACCGCCATATCATCCGGCGACGCCCTGCACATTCTCCACGGCATCCGCCAAGCCGAACCCCCCGATCTCGCCAATGGCAAATACATCACGGGTTGTTCAGTGCTGGAAGCATTCCTCGAGGTCCTCTGCAAAGGACATACGAGAGACCGTTACACCGAAAGGTCGATCTATCCGGCACTTGACGAAATGAAGGAGGCTTACACTAGCGCGTGCTCCGGTTCGGACGCGCATATGCTTGAGCTCATCAACAGTATTTACATTGCAAACTTGATCGGTATGGTTATCATTACCACCCATGACGGTTACCTGGGCCTGGCACCAGCAGGAGTCAACCCAGACGACATCATTTGCATGATGCTCGGAAATAAATACCCTATGTTGCTTCACCCGGCAGGAACGTTACGAGAATACACAGTTGTCGGGCCCTGCTACATTCACGGAATGATGGAGTCCGAGCCATGGCTCGGCGGCTTCCCAGAGTCTTGGGCGATCAGGATGGAAAAGCCTAGGCAGTCGTCTATGTTCTTATTCTTCAACAGCATCACACAGGACGTAACGCGGGATGACCCGAGATTGCCGGCCATGCCTCAGGACTGGGAGAAGACTGAGAAGCAGGGTATGAATGACGATGGGTCTGTGCTCCAAGAGTTTAGAAATAAAGTGACGAAGCAGTTGATGGATTCAGATCCTAGGATGACCCCGGCGGCTTTAAGAGAAAGGGGGGTCAAGCTGGAGGCATTTCGGCTTGTTTGATCTGCTTCGGACGGAGTGGATGACATATTTATATGCTTGCACGTAACCCATAGCCCTTCAAACAAATGGCATTAGCAAACAGTGGGGATGTCAGGTCGAACTTGGGACCAACGGGGTCACGCTACTGAATTAATCCGGAATTCCTAATGAATACATATACTGGGCCTGTGAAATCTGGGCCTGTGAAATCACACTTATTTGTTGCCAGTCCGCATATAGATGTACTATAGGTGTTCGTGCTGGTTCATGTTACCCAACAGCTGGCTTCCGGGCGAAGTCTTCTGAGAGGTCGATATAGATTTCCATATTCCGGGAGACGCCCGTCTGAGTGTGAATAAGACCGCAGTGGGCTCAAGTCCTGCGAGGCCGCTACCTAGGATGTCGGTGAACTCGCTACCGTAAAAACATAAAAGAGAAAAGAAGCTGGCATATTATAATCCGATTTGGTTCAAAATGGCTGTCTTCCATAAGCAGCGTACGGTACGCTGCGTACCAAGGAGCGTATAATGATTCAGATCGCTGTTCCGGGTCCACAGGTATAATTACGTGTAATGTTGTAGTCCTTCAATTATTTATGAAATTGCACTTGTTTCGCATCTTGAAGGTTTGTTTCAGTGAGTAGATTGAGCTAACATAATCTCCATACTTTTGTCGTAGCAAATACTACACAACAGCTTACAGAGTATATTTCCATACCTCTCGTGGATCAGTGACTTGTGTAACAAGCCAATTCGGTGGGGTGTATGGCTTGTTGAATTCCGTCCTGAATTCCTGCACCGTTCTCTTCGTGCATGAACCCTCAGACACCTTCGATCTGAGTGATTTGCCAGCTAGACGATCCTTGATCCACTGCATCCAATACACCTGGCTTGCCTGAATTACAGGGAAATGATCCTGGCCCTCATACATGACATATTCGATGGCCGCCGTGCCGTTGGCGTTTACTGCGCAGGTGTCATCCACGGCAGCCTTGACAGTTGCCACTGGAACAGCTCCATCCTTCTTACCAGCGATGATCAAAAATGGACCTGCGACTTTCTTGCCGCTCACACGGGTTCTCTTCTGAAACTCCAGAGCAGTGGGGTGACTGGTCCATGACGGATCACCCAATTCGGATGGGAGCAGGTCACTGAAGACAATGTTGTCGGTGGGCAGGCAGCCCTGGATTTTGGCCATCACATTATGGAACCGGTCGTACACCTTGGCCGTCATGCCTGTATAGTTGAAACCGGGATACACAGCAGTAACGCCGGCGATGACCGAGTGTTGAATGAAGCTTCTTGCGGCCAAAACCCAAGGCTCCGTCGAGTTGTTGGCGTAGGCTTCATTTCCATCGGCAATCAGCTTTACACCATCGACGGGCGGCGCAAAAGTCACAGTACCCTTATAGCCAGGTATGGGTTGCACCGCTTGCCGCTCGGCAAATGCCCAAGCTATGGCGCCTCCCTGGGAATGTCCGGCTGTGACAAAGGGAGTGTCTGTGGAGAGTAGGTTCGGGAATGCAGACCGAGCAGCAATCATTGCGTTTGCAACATCATTGGCTTGTGCGGGCGAGGCATCATAGGCATGTAGAATTCGCTCGCCATTGGGTAGAGAGCCGAGCCCAAGACCGGCATAGTCAGGGGCCACTACGACCATGCCCTGCAGAGCGAGGGCAAAAGGTACCATAAAGTGATACTGCAGGGCTCTGTAGTTGGATGGTCCACATGCGGGGAAGAGACCTGATATTCCGTGGGCCCAGGCTACCATCGTCAAAGAGCTGGCATTGCTGCATTCAGGGGTGCTCAGAGGAAAGCTTGCCGGCCAAAGGATGTATGCTGAGACAGGCACGACTGTTCCATTGAGATTGGTGCTTGTATACAGCATGCGAGACATTGTCAGACCTGAAGGCACCGTATAATTCGTCAAGTCGGTGCCTTCTTCAAGTGTGAGCACTGTGCCCGGCGCGAGATCTCTGGAGAAACTGGAAGGCGTGGTATAGAAAGGAGAATTGGGATAGGCATGCTGGGAGGTCTCAAAGGCAAAACCAGCTGTGGCAGCACCCGGACAAGTGGTATCTGGAGTACATGTCGTGCTCTCGTTGAATTCGAGAAGTTGAGCCAGTATGCCCGGAGCAGCCAACAAGGCAGTAAAAAGAACACGAAAAGCCATGACTTTTCTCGATGATCATAAGAGAGAATTAAGAAGTGCGGATCCTTGATGAATCTGACAGCTCATCAGGACCTCATTCTACCAAAGAACTCACCTTTTTATCTACATAGCATTCTGAAGTTTGGGGCAAAACAACATAGGCATCAGGGCGGACAGCGTATAACTTAGCCACTGTCGGTGAAATTAGATGCGGCGGTGAAATTAACCTTACTTCTAACATGCAATCCCGTTCCATTGTGCTGGGTAAGCTAAGCTGAGGAGCACTCATCTCATCCTTCAGGTACGATCATCCTTCTCGGCCGGCATGATTCATCGCGTTGACCTAATGGGACATCGTTGAGATGATGTAAAGTCATCAGCAGCCTTGCTCGTGCATTTGAAAGGCCCAGCAGGGGGGGTCAGCTTGCGTATTCGCTTATTTTGATGTCGGTATTTGATAGGCTCCTTCACATTAGAGTGTAGCTTGGCGGAGGCTAACGGATGTGACCGGCGTGCGGTAGAGATAAGCGAATACGCCCCGGGTACGCGCTAATTCCTCCTCCGTCATGAGAGCATGGCATGTCCGGTCTGTAAAGCGCCGCAGCTGAAAATCCGGCCACGCCTTTCATCGGTGTGTCGATTCCGCAATTCTGCCAGGATGAATAATTGGCGATCATTTGGCTAGGCTACTTCTTGTTGCCCAGGTGGAGGCGCCATGACAATCCTCCTAACGCGTTCCAAAAATTGATATTTGAGTGTCATCAAGCAAGCCACATTCCCTATCTTGATGTCAGGGTTCCGCTATGCTGTTGAGTTCTGAGATGAGATCTTAAGCCATTGCTATTGGCTTCTAATGACACGTACAGAAGTTGTGATTGACATGATATGCCCAGGAGTACCGTTGCATCGGCCGTGATTGACTAAACCCGTAGCCCGCTAGATATTCCCGGGTGGCAGTGCTGCCGGCATCGCGATAGAAGAAGGCTTGGTGTTGAGATATTTGGAACTAGATATTACTGCTGCCTCGCCTTAGTATTCAATCGGCGTCTAGATACCCAAAGGCTAAGATAAGTAGCGTAGTAGAAGGATTCTGGAACGTTGTGAAGACATCAGGTGTGAAGACTAAGCACGACCGGCTTGTCCGGGTTAGGTCTACGATGGGGACTCGGCACTCCAGGATAGGACTCCATCTGCAGGGCTGAGTGAACCTTGGTGCCCTGCGTTCCACTTTTTATTCCAAATGCTCCTTCAGGAATGCCCACCAGTTTCCCGACTATACGGTATAGTATATCACGGTATAGAACACATAAATATATACATGCATACACAGACTTAGGTCCTGCCTTGATCAAACTTATCCTGCAGCTGTGATCCCTTCTTATGCACCTTCTCGAAGTTTTCCAAGAGTGATACTCGTACGATTCTTTCGATATCCAGCCTATCGAGCGTCAACGCAGGGACACCACGAGGTCGAGTAAGCCATTCCTATCAACACTATTAGTTTGTTACGATTCGGGATAGGGGTGGACTCTGACTCATTTGCCGTTCGGCGATCCCTATGACAATGTTATATAACTTTGCAGACGACTTTGTTGAAGCCAGGAGGAAGGGGCAAGGCACTAGATCAAAGAAGTCGATGAGTTGTTGCAAGCGAGACTCTATGCAAGGTTGTGATCCAGACATTGACTGGGATGTATTGGAAGGAATGGGAAACTACCGGCCTCGTCGAGCACATCGAAAGTCGCGCAATGGATGCGCTGACTGTAAGCGCCGCCGGATTAAGGTTCGACCAATCCCTCATAATTCGTCAAAGACGGATGACATACTTACAGTGGCAATAGTGTGACGAGAACAAACCACGATGTCAAAGATGTACGAAGCTAGATCAGCCTTGTATCTATCCCACTACGTCACTATCACCAACATTTGGTGGCTTTCAAGAGAGGGCGCACTCTCCAAATTCCACAGTTAGCAGAGAGACTTCTCTGTCTCTTCCAACAGGGCTACTAACTTCAAGTACTGAGGGCAGTGCCATCTCCACTCCAGCTGCAGCACATCTTAATCTCAGTCAGGAGGACTCAGACCTCTTCACCCACTTTCTCCAGCACACATCACACATCTCAGGCCTAGAACCCGAAAGCCAATATGCCTGGCGACTGGGATTGCCGACATTGGCCATCAGGTCACCTACAGTGATGCACTCAGTCCTTGCTCTTGGGTCTATGTGTCTCTGTATGGACATCATCTCAGCTGGTAGCCATCCAGACTCGTACTTTGCTCCACAAGAGGACTATGAACGCGTAGCACACTTCACGGCAGCTGCTATCGCTCATCATGCACAATCAATTCGTGAAGTTGGGGCAGCTATCGCTGAGACCAACCTGAGTGCTAACTTGGACGTTGTGCTCGCGAATGCGGCCATCATGGTCCCATATGGCTTTATGCTCCGCAGACTAAAAACTTGGCTATCTGGGAGGGTGTTTGATAGCAAAAGCGCCTTGACTACAACGGACACCGCGGGAATGTCCTGGATCTACCTCTGCCGAATGGTCAAAACGGCGATCTGGGGGCTTAGAGATCATCATAGGTCACCGATGGATATAAAGCCCGAATTGCTCACCGGAGATACATTTGATTCCCTGCTGGCCTTCATTGACCGTAAGTCTTAATCACTGAGAAACCTTCATTCGTTATCTAGTGTGGCCCCTCAACTAACCGTCACAGCTCGCCCTGCCTTATCGCCAATCACGCACATCTTGTACCCCATTATATCCGCCACAGCATCTGCAGCAATGAGTAAGCTTCAAACTCGTGTCATGTCGGTTTTAGGATCCATTGAGTCACCTTCGGCTGCTGCGTGCATTGCCGCATCCAGTGCGTTGGAAAGTACAGTAGCATATGTAGTGGTGGCGGCCCAGACGACGAACCCAGAATGCACGTCTGCGTGTCACAAGGACTCACCAAAAGGCCACCTCGCCGACGCCTCGCCGTGGATACTCGCTTGGCTGATAACACATCCGCATCTCCGAGCATCTCCTCACAGAGGGCTCGAGAAACTCATTCTCTCATTCTTGAACTCTGTGTCAGACGAGTTTCTAGATCTTCTCGATCCAATTTTAGACAGGAACCTCACGGTTGAGTCACATGATATGTTGTTTACTCCCATAAGCCACGAGGATGACTACCTAGAGTCTAGGCCTGGTCTCACTTCAGAGCAGCTTGTTGCTGCGGAGATATTTGCGCATTGGCTAGTGCTTCTCATGCTACTCGAGAACAATTGGTGGATTGGCGATCTTGGAATACAAGAGTTGATGAAGCTGGTGGGAACCATTAAGGGGCCTCATTTGTCAGGGTCACGATCGTTAAGCCCGAATACACCTTTGGATCAGACAGGAAGTCCCGAACTCATAGATCGTTGGTGGCCAGAGAGTCTATTAAGTGCGGCTCTGGAGTTGAAGAGAACAGGCTCCGATCTATGAGTTAAAGTTACATGAGGCTTAAAAAGGTCTTTCTTGATGTCTTTGAATTAATGAATCAATTTCTGATGTTTCGTACATTTCGCATTATTCGCCCAACGTCTCATCAATTGCCGAGTTGGGGAAGGTGATGGATGTCTCTCTTTTCCCCCTAGAGAACCCACCTTGCCATCTTATCTGGCAACATTTATTCTATAGACGTTGGTGTTGGTTTCTAGAACACGCAGGGCATCAGTTTTGCGATCATAGACTTCCATACCTAGCCCAGAAGATCACTGCCAACAGACATGCATAAGATACAGTCATGACTCCTAACAGAACGTATAGACCTTTCATCATAGCTATCATGACACGGTCAATCACTAGGCCACGCTGTTCACGCTGATGAGGATATAGCGTCGTCAGGAGTTTCTGACTCTGATAGTATGCAATCCAGTCATTCGAGGTGAAACGAGACCTTTCCACCAAGCTGAGATCTTCGGATGGAGTATCGTCCGCCCTCGTTCTGGTCAGATTGATTCGTGCTCCCAAGCGATCTTTGTGATGGTGCAAACCTGGCACGCCTTTGCTTGCGATATCTGTAACGTGTATGGGGCGGTCGATCCATCTGGCTAGTCATACTTGATGTGGAAGGGCAAGTGGTGGTTTTCGTTGCTCGGCATGTCTTATCAGGGATTGTCGATCCATTGTTTTCATATGTAGTCATCAATCTCGCCTTTAGCAGCCGCGCGTGAAGTTGGTTCCGAGGATTACAATTTCGGTCTGTACGAGAGTGATTGCGCGCGTGCAGCAGTGGATGGGTCTCAATGACGCCCATTGTATCGTCCATACCAACCTCCTTAAATACCCGGCTGTTTGATATCCGTAAGTTCAAAAACTGAAGCGCCTAGAACTAGATGTAAATTTGACGGAATGCTGGCTACAAGTTGCCTGGTGCGGATAATTCGAGAATATGAACACGTGCTCTAACATATTAAAGAGCCTAGGAACATCAACGACGCTTTGTTATAACTGAACTCTGGATAAATAATATTCAGGCGGATTGTTGGACAAGGCATTGTATTGTGCGATAGCAGACGCTGATAAGCTTTCAAACCTTGTTGAACAAAAGACTGGCTTGACACTAAATGCAGCAGAGAGCTGACGCAGAAGTTCTCACACAAACAATACAATGAGTCCAATTCTGGAGTTCGAATCTATTCCAACCCTGATGCACCACAAGCATAGATATTACACTTGTCACATTAATGGTATAAGGTGATCCTGCTTGGCTATACGGTTAATGCCTTGGGTGGTTGCCTATCTGATATCAACAGCCTTTATTCAAATCTGTGGTTTATTATTCGCCCCATTATCACCTTTGCGTCGGTATAGACGATATGTAACAAGAAAGTCTTGAAACGCTCTTGCATACTCTAGAGTTTTGAAAGGTAGTTTCAATCTATATAGCACTCTGCTTTGTGAGGATTGAGAGAGATGGGTTGCAGCTACGGCCGGGATTGAATCTCATACGAGGTATACAATGGCCAGAATGCTGATAATGCTCTCTCAGAAACTATCAGAAGTTAAGCTGGTATGACACTTGCTTAACAGCTGAGGAGAGAACGAGAGATATCCTAGAACTTTTCAATAGGAAAGTCACAAGTCAGGTCTCGTGATATCATTCATCAAGGCAGTTCAGACTTTCAGGCACTCACAGAAGAATATGAACTTCTAGATGCCTAAGGGGGAAGCTGCTTCTTGTTATAGCTTCTCCCTTTTAGTCTAAGCAATCTAAAACCTTTCCAACATGATGACTGCAACTAGCATTCGTTTTTTTATTTCTGATTTCCTTTATGAAGAAATTTGTACTCAATTCCACTTTCGTAACCGGAAGCAACGCGGAGGTGCTTACTTATAACCTCATCACACGTCCGGGTGCCGGCCCGTCTTCCTGTTTTCTTTCTTTTCTATCCTGTGAGCGGCTCTTACGTACAATCATCTCAATATAGGGCAGCTTGCTTTGTGTCTTCATACTTCCACAGGCCCAAAGACACAGCCCATTCGACTCCCTAACCACAAACCAAGAAGGTTGAGACATCTAAACGCAGAAGGTATGTGGGATAAATTTTGTTTGACTATGTCGTTTGACTTCATGATTTAAAATCAAAAACATGATTCTCACTCTCAATTTCTTTTCTTCCCTCCCTCTTGCCGTCCTCTGCCTGCTTTATTTGGGTGGGACATCACCCGCTTCCTTCGCCTAGCTCCTGCCCACCTGGGAAATCTAAGCTTCCACTTAAACCCTCAGGCAAGGCAGGCACGTCCGATCGAAGCTCAATATCTTGCCATCCGTCATCCAATTCTTCTACACGATTCCCTTCCATTTCATCACCACCTGAAGATCTGCGCCCACATCTCCACGTCCAAGACCGCCTAATAACCTTCAATTCAGGCAGTACACTATACAAAGTATCCGCGGGGCGTAGAAGATGTCACCATTCATTCCCTCTGACACCGATGCTGTGTCTGTCGACACTGAAGTCGCGAATATGGCTACTCCTGAGATGGATCAGATCAATCCGATCGATGTAACCCCAAGCACCCCCCAGATCCTCGCGCCATCTGAGCCCATCCCTGATATTGCCAACAAACCTGAGACAACCCTGCCTAAGATAGCCTTGGATGGTGGCGCCGGCTTGACTCCGAATGATGAGTTTGAATCTGATGCCAATTCAGAATCAGAGGATCGCGAGCAGGCTAAGCCGGTGGACAAGTACTTCACTGATGGAACAGTCCCACGAGCCCTGAGCCCCATTATCTCCGAGTCAGATTCCGATGTTCGACAGACGATCTCCATGCACAGAGACAGCGATCTCTACATTCAGGCCAAGAACGAACATGGAACAGACATCGTCTTCGAGGTCAACTCCTCTGTTCTCGCCGCGACTTCTCCAGTCTTCCGCAAGATGATCTATGGCACCTCCCATCGTCCCGACACGGGCGATTGGATCATCGATCTCAGCGTCGACAATGCTAAGGCGCTCCGTCATGTCTTTCGCATCATACATTTCCGATGCAACACCAGGGATGTCATGCGCATGCGGACACCTGATGAAATTGGTCAGATCCTCCTGCTCGTTCACAAATACGAGCTTGACAATATCATCTATCCGTTTGCCAAGAAGTGGTCTGGCGATCTCACACATGCCTTGCAGCTCGATGAGAAGACTCACCCAGACAACTCTGTACAGGCTCTGTGGATTGCCTGGAAGATTGGCGACTTCAAGAACTTCAGAGATCTACTCGTCGATGTCATCTTCTGGGCGTGTGATAAGAGTGGCGCTCTTTGCGGCCCTGATGGTAAGCCCCTGGAGGGTCTCCCGTGGCCAAAGGAGCTTCTCGGTAAGGCAATCTGCTGATACACCGCTTAAGAGACATATTCTAACATAACCCATAGATGTCATCGAGTCCAACCGCTTGGAGGCGCTTCGCAGAATCCTCGCAACCTTCAGCGATCCAATCAACTACTTCATGTCTCCGAACGAAAAGCCCAATGGACGCTACTGCAAATCTATCGACAACCAGGTTGAATGCCACTGCACCCTTCTAGGATCGGCGATCACAGCCCTCAACAAAGCAGGCATGTGGCCTCTTCCTAAGCCTGAGAAGTACGGTGAGAGTATCTACCGTCTCCGTCAAATCGTCGACGGCCTACATATCACGGCCCTTCTTTACCCCGGCCATCCTCCGCACGAGCAGCGCCATTTGCGCTGCGGCCTCGAGCACAAGGACGTGCTCGAGGAGTTCAAGTCATTCGTGCCAGTCCTTCCGGATGCCCTTCTGAAGGAGATGAAGCACCGTGGCCAGATGATGTTGACCTTCGACGAGGAGGCTTGGGCCCCGTACAAAGACCAGGACAAGTGGGAGGATGTTGATCTGGAGCCTGAGGACTCCGTTGTCGACGACGGTTGGGATGAGACGGAGTGAGATTGTTCAGTCCATGGAGTTCAACCTAGGCTGAGGTAATGTGTTGCGCATAAAAGGCACTACTGCTCTGGGATTATCTTGTTCTTTGCAATGCAGATCGCCGCCATGATTGTGATAGCTAGCAGGTTACGTTAGCTAGCGACCTCTACCAATTAGTCCGAATACCAGATGCCGAGTTACTGAACGTCTCTTGTTATCTTGGAAACGTGCCTTGTCGAATGAGCAATCCAAGTACACGCTCATCACGTACATGAGGGCTACCGAAAACGTGAGACACCCTGTTCACAATCCATCTCTATAATCTGCCATGCTCTGTTAGCATGGGGAGTGATTTACATTTGATACTATACAGTTTTCAATACCACAATTATGGGCTCTTCATTGATAACCCACCTGCTCCAGTTCATTCAATGCTTCTCACAGGAAGTTGATGCCTACGCCAACCTGCAGGCCTTTCCTACCCTCCTCCCCCCTTCGCATCACTAGCGGCAAGCTGAAATTCAGCTCGAATCTGGCGACGGGATGGGCATACACCAGTCCAAAACCTGCCGCCAAGCTGGGCAGACCGTTCGCCAGCTCGGACAAGGCTGCCTTCATACCATCCTTAACTGCCTTTGAGTCCAGACTTGTACCTTCGCCGCTCTCCTTGCTTTTGCCCTTGTTCTTCAGAGCCACGAGGCGGCCACCATTTGCAAAAAGTTGGAATCTTAGAGGAGAGGAGGGACCACTTCGCGGTAGAGGTAACAGTATATTGACACTGCCGGCAGCAAAGACGTCTCCACCGACGGCATCAGCACCGTCCCGGGGCCCCAACCCGCCAATTTTGAAACCACGAACATCAGTTGGTCCGCCAAGCTGGAACCGGTCGTTCAATCGGCTTGGGCTCGTCTTCCCACTGAGGGCATAACCTAGGGGTAGCGGGTAAAGCAGGCCACAGCGGAAACCGCCTCCAATTGAGATACCTGTCCGACTGCTGCTCACTCCCGGAAGGCCGACTGGTATCGCACCAGATAGCTCGACCTCAGACTTGGAGAATGAAACATCGCCTGCAAGAGGTCCCCAGCCAGCCAGCTCGGTCACCGTTCGGAGAAGGTAGCCGCTTTGGGGAAGCATGGGATTGTCTCGCCGATCCCGTGTGAAAGTGTGCGCAATCGCGCTCTTGACGCTATCCCCGGCATCCGTGCGAACCGTCGCAGAAGCGCCGCCGCTAAGGCCCGTCAGTTGCCTCCAAGTCCCCGTGTATGCGAGATTGTGCGCGTCGCCGAACTCTGAGAGCCACGACAGCCGGACCGCACCGCCCTTGAGCACCTCCTCGTGGCTAGCCCATGGCTTTTGTGTAGCAGAGGCCAGACCCTCGAGAGACAGCCGTAGGTCGGGTCTGCTGTTGACGGGCGTGGAGAAGGCGGCGCTGTAAGCTGACCGCGTGCGGGTTCCGGCGCTGGCGTTGAGCGAGAGTGTCTCGGCGCCGCCGAACATGTTCCTCCATAGCAGGTTGCCGTATGCTGAGCCTTCTGTGTTCCCCAAGTCTGTGCCAGTCTTAAGGATAAAGCGGGACTTCTCGGCAACGCGAATCGAGATATCGAGATCGGTGCCGGCGGCGGAAGCGTCATTTTGGCGGGCGTCTGCGAGGTAGACGGTCGGGGAAGGCTTGAAAATATCTGTGAGGGTCTTGTTAGCATGTTTTTGAAATTATAGAGGAAAATCAATGAGTAGAGAAGCATACCAAACCTCTCCAACTTCGTAGTAGCTTCTTGCAAACCGGCTAGAACATCTCCCAAGGTTGTGCCAACATTGCGGCTATCGTGAACTAGAGGCTGAAATATTGGGTCAAGGAAGTTCTTGCGTGTGTTCTTGGCTCCATGGATCTCAATTGAGTTGATTGTCGCCGGCCGTTGCATGTGGTCGGAGAGCTGGCAGTGTTTAGCGTTGTGCTCGAAAGGGGGATAATTAGCAGGACCTACGAGAGCTAGTTTTCTCAATTGTGCCGCCTCGTCCTGAGCTCTAGTGGCTTCTTCTATGGCGTGAGCTTCTTGTCGCAAGACCTCGGTGTCTGCCTCAAGCTTCCTTATGCTGTCGGAGGCCTGAAATTCGGGGCGAGAACTAGTTAGCCATGGGAACGTTTTGTCGAGGACAAGGAAAGAGGCAGCGTCTTCTACTTACACCATTGCCACCGGCACTCTTGTTGGAAGCCATGACAGCTTGCGACCGACCACAGGTGCAACCGGGAACAGAGCGCAGATGCTGTTTTGAGGGACGAAGAAGATCAGCTGGAGAAGTCTCCGCCAGAAAGCTCGGGGGCCCGGGATGATACGGCGATCGATCGTGGATTGCCGGACGGCAGCTAACGTTAACAGCAAAGTGTGGCTTGTGTGGCTGCGGTGGCTAATGGTACGGTCCTGATAACGCTTCAACTTGCTTATCGCGTGACCACCTGCCACCTTCATTGCCCAGGTGGAAGAGAGACGTCTCCTTTGTTAGGGGGTCGCTGACATAATAATCTAGAACATTGATGGCGGTTCCTTACAGCGTCACCAATCTGGCTCAGCCTCTCAAGATTACCGACTGGCCTCTCCTTCACCTACCAACCAACCAACCTACTAACCAACTTCCAACCTCACTTCATCATCGTGCAGAGCCAACCGACCCCGTCCTACCTAATCCCATACATTGCCCTCAATTTGGCGATTCTGCGACTTTCTTCGACTGCCTTTTCTCGTGTTTGACTCACCAAACTGCGATAATCTAGTCATCGGGCTTGTTCTAATCATTAGCCTCCGAGTGTGCCGACCTCCGACCGTCTCTGCTTGCGCTGCGACGCATTCTTGGTCGATACCAACGACCCCCAGACATGGCGAGCCGAGCTGCACAGAAGCGCGTGTGTATTCTCCATCCTGATAAGTAAGAACCGGTCGCAGGGCATGCTAACCAGTCATGGCAGTTGACGCGCGAGTACAAGACTATCTCCGAAAACCCTCCCCCATACATCACCGCCCACCCTTCAGAATCTAATATATTAGAGTATGTCATTATCGCTTTTGCCCAGATTTATCTAGGACTTGATTTATGTCGTATTCCCAGAATAGCTTGCTAACGCTCTTGTTCAGATGGCACTACATCATCACTGGCCCTGAGAACACTCCCTATCATGGTGGCCAGTACTGGGGCACCCTCATGTTTCCTCCCAACTATCCCTTTGCGCCACCGGCCATCAGAATGCACACACCCTCTGGACGATTTCAACCATCGACACGACTCTGTCTGTCAATATCTGACTTCCACCCCCGCTCGTTCAACCCTGCATGGGAGGTATCGACCATCCTTATCGGCCTGTTATCCTTCATGACCTCGGAAGAGATGACCACTGGGTCCGTGTCCGCAAGCGAGGCCGAGCGGAAATACCATGCTGGTCGATCAAGATGGTGGAACTCAACCGGTGGTGGCTCTCACCAAAAGGCGGGCGGTCCCGCGCAGAAAGGAAACGTGAAAGCCGGTGATGGCGGGGCGAAGTTCAAGGCAGAATGGCCGGAAGTCGACCAGGAAAACTGGGAGTGGATGAAGGAGAATTACCTTGATACCGCTACGGGCAACAGAATCAACCCTGGCGGCGCGGCGGGTGCCTCTTGCGGTCCCCAATTAGGCATCGCAGGAGGCAGCGGCCACCAGGCACAGGCGGTCGTGGACGCGGTCGTGCAACGGCGGGAGGCCGGAGCAGGCTGGGTGTCTCGGAATAAGCTCCTTGTTGCAGGTGTTGCCATCTTCGTCTACGTACTCATTGCACGCCTTTTGGGGGAGAGCGGATCGACGAGCACCTAGATGTTATGGCCCCACACCAGCGTCAACAACCTCTGACGAGTCTTCTCTTGATTGCCGAAGACTCGGCAGTGTATTAATCACCTTGCTACGTGTTTGCGAGGTGCACGGCAGCTTGTAAACCATTGCGAAAGGACATCGAGGTTTAGGTCCACACCTCTGCCTCTGTGATCTGCGACCGACAAGAAGTTGTTTGTCAGCCTGCAACATGACAGCGTTGCGTGTACGGTAGAGCCAAGCTTTGACAGTAAGAAGCGACAGTGCAAGGGATTACTCGAGTGGAGCGAGAGCGTTATTGTAACGAGTACAACGGTGTCATAGTCGCCATTTTGCGCAGAATAGATCGGAGATATCCATCATACTAAGGAACTTCATGTCAATGACAGTTTTCAAGAAGAGACGATATACAGTGGATCTTGTTTGTTTCTGAATAAAGGGACTTCTCATGTTTAAACATCACACCTGAAGCAAGATACCAAAGCTCTAACTCTGTTTGGTTTCGGATAATCTCCGAATCACGAGCCAGAGGTTAACTAGAGCAGGCGGGCCAAAGCTTTTCCCGGCCGAAGCTATTTACAATCATCTAATATCGATTGTAAAATAAGCCTGACAGCAATTATAGGTAAGGGACAAAGATCCGATTGGGCGTCTCTGGTGACTCGAGATGCTGCGTTGCTGTTTCACGGTCTAGCTGTCGCAGGGATGCAGAGTGGGTCAGCGACCCCAAGATCAGACTTGAGGCTTGTTCCAGCGCTGAAGCACATTCATGCATTCACGATAAGATACGCTAGCCGCACCACCAGAAGAATTTGCCTTTAGATCATCCCTGGTCCTTTGTGTCAAAATAGCCTCTTCGGAAGATATCTGACGGCAGGGGCTGGCTTGGCAGTGCAGCGTCTTCTAGAACACTGCATGGTTGTCGTTTTAGGTGGTCAGGCCAACCAACAGCAATCCCGGAACTGTTGCTGGCTGTGCCTCGAGGCATGTCGACGCGGTCAATCATGTTTATACTAGACTACATGAGTTGATGTACCTGATTGTCATGATTCGAGATCTACGGCTTCCTACCTGCACGGAGTTGATCAAACCTTGTAGTCTCTGCCATTTCGTTGCAAACCTCCGACTGAACCCCACAACACTCTGCAGGGATTCGTAAGCCACTGCTAAATCAAACTGCCGACAATACCAGGTTAGGGGTCTTTGGTTGTGAGTTGATAGACTTGGTTGTTATGCATTTTCACCTAACTGTCGTGCAGCCCAGAGAAGCATGGCCGTGGTCTCCCTGTCCCAAACGGGTGGCTAAACAACCGACTGGGAACTCGAAAGATGCAGTCGTCATCTCCTCTATTACAACCATCAAGGTGGCAATAGCCATATCATGCAGTCGGCACTTCTTTCATCAAGATCACTCCGCTTACAAATGTTCTTCGTGCAGTCTGGCCAGACTCACAGCTAGCCATTGAGCCTCTACAATCGTCTTGGCCTTGGTGGAAAGTTCCGTGAGCTCGATGCAACACGACAATTGAATCTGCCAAGATCATGTCTGAGTATTGATATAGCTGGATAATCTATCGAGATGTTTTGCTCACATCAAGTCTCGTTCATTCGTTCATAATCTTTCATTTCTTTTCTGGCTGGCCAGGTGCCGTCAGCTACACCTCTCGCGAAAATGACAAGCGTTACCAACTGGCCATTTCCGGAAGTGGCCCGCCACTCTCGTTCCTTTGTCGACGAAAAGCCTCTTCGTGATGAGGAGTCTCTCAAGGAGGATGTTCTCACAAAAGGGGACACCACGCTGGTCGTGGGCAGTACTGATCTCTTCGACGAATACGGCCAGATCCGTCTGATTCCTGTAGGTTCTAACATATATATGCCGTCATCCTCATAGCTCGTGTTGATGCTAGACCTAGATGCCAAGTCCGGATCCCAAGGGTATGTATTTCGCCAACGGCCAACGTGTGCCATTGTCTCTCGACTGATCTCTCATCAGACCCTCTCAATCTACCAAACTGGAGGAAGTGGGTTGCTATCGGAGTTCTTTGCTTTTGTGAGTCTCAATGGCCGAACTCACAACGCTGAATAACATAGCCTGACAGCACATCTCTGTCTCTAGTCGGATCTCTTGCCTTATCTGCAGAGATTGTGATCGGCGGTCTTATCCCAATCTTCCTGCTCGAGTATGCTGGTCTTGACCCGCGGACCATCAAGGAGGTCGACTTCGTTGCGCAAAGCGGCGGAAGCGGAGCCACGTTGAACCCGCTTGCCGTCATCCCTCAAGGTGTCACTCCTCCAGACTTGGGGAGGGTATCACTGCTGGCGACTGTACCGTTGTTGGCTAATGGAATCGCAAGCTATTTTCTCGTTCCCCTGTCTATTGCTATTGGGCGTCGACCTGTTCTTCTGCTGACAGGGGCGATGGCATGGGGAGGTGGTTTGCTAGCCGCCTTGAGCACATCTCTCGACAGTCACCTTGCAGCTCGGGCATTGCAGGGCCTTGGCGCGGGTGCAGTTGAGGCTTTGATACCACTGATTGTCCAAGACATGGTGTTCATTCATCAGAGAAACAAGGCTATGTCTGCTATTGTATCGAGTCAGGTAAGGCATTCTGAGAACGAAACATAGAGTTAAGGTTAACGCCGACATATACAGGGTATAATCATCATTGGTCTTGGAATCTCTGCCCCTTATGTTGCCGCCAACTTCACCTGGCGCTGGCTCTACTATATCACGTCGGGTTTTGGTATCCTTGCTTGGTTCTTGCTTATTGCATTTCTTCCGGAGACTCGATGGACGAGGTCTCCGGAAGAGCTAAGTAAGTTCTACATGGTGATTCAGATGAGTGTCAACCTGACAGCGCCACAGGTGGCCAAAAGGTTCATCCCGTTTCATTTGGACAGAACCGGCCCGATCTGGACTTCAATGCTTACACACCACGCACTACGTGGACCAACGTTGGTGTGTTCCAGTTCGGGTTTGAGTTCAAAAATGCTGGCAAGTCCATGTTGGATACGTTGAGGACGACCATTTTCCCCGCGGTGATTTGGGCTGTCTTGGCCAACAGCATCTTCATCATTGTCAACCAGGCTGCGGCTCAGCTCTCGTCGTTCGTCCTTCTTGCACAAGGGTACGTTTCAATCCAATTTTATCATCGAATGAATACATCATTTGACAATGACTATATAGTTGGGAGTTTCAGTATACAGGGCTATCGGTTATCCCTTTTGTGGCAGCATCCGGCCTAGTGTAGTGAGTTTGACATCCTTGAACCATTCTATGACGCTTAGAAGTAAGCTTACTCATGATACAGCCTCCTTGGCGGTCCCGTTGCTGACCGTGTATCCAACGCGGTGACTAGGCGCTACGGCGGTGCAAGAGAGGCAGAACATCACCTTCCCAATCTAGTCCTCCCGTTTGTCTCCGGCATCGCTGGAGTTTTTATCTTCGGATGGGCAGGTCAAAACAACGTTCACTGGGCTGTTCTCCTGTTTGGTTCCTTTCTCATCATATTCGCGTTCCTAACTGTCATGACTGTCCTGAACGTCTTCATTGTGGAGAGTTATCCGATGTGGGCTGGACCGGTGCTGGTTAATGTGTCCAGCCTCCGCATCATTACAGCCTTTTTCTTAGCCAGCGAAGTCACGACCTGGGTCGCGGAGAAGGGTCTGCTGGGAACTTTTGTTATCTATGCCGAAGTCATGATTGTGGTGTCATTGGGTATTCCAGCTCTTTTCTTTGGGGGCAAAAAGTTGCGCCAGTTGACTGCGGGCAGTGTCCGTGCAAAAATGCCCGCAAAGATGGTTGATGATTCAATGAGCGAGAGATCTGTGTAAAACTCGTTGATTGAACGGACCAAAGGGGGATTGATGGTTATGGTCGCAAGCCTGCAGAATGATGGTCATGCAAGTGTAAAGGTCTGGGGGGTTCATTTTTCCAGCACAAGAAACCCTTCATGTTCAAGGCGGATTTCAACCTGCTCCTCGAAGGCACTTATTTGCTCTCTCGATACGCCCCGACCGCTACAAGCAGTTCTGCCGTATTTAAAAGATATTATACAGTCTTTACTCTGATACACATCCTACGGTAGCTTTATGACAACTCGCCCCTCCACTGTTGCTTTTTCTATCTCCTCAAGAACCTTGTCAATGTCCTCCAACCCCTTTTCTACAATTCTTGGTTTCACTTGGCCGCGCGCTAGGAACTCCAGTGCTTCATTCGTATCCTCGAGAATGCCTGTAGAAGTGCCAAAGATCTTGATGCCCCTGGCTATAAAATCTTCTGGGAGGACGGGGATCGGTGACGGTTTAGGCGGGAGCCCTATACAGACCATGGTTCCGGCTCGTCTAAGGTACTTCACAGAATCGGCATAAGCCCTGCCGGACGAAGCACATATCAAAGCTCCTTGTGCACCACCTTCCGTAACTTTGATGACTTCTGCCACGACATCCGCCGTCTCTATGAAGTCAATATAAGCCTCAGCTCCCAAAGCTGTGCAAATATCGCGTTTCTTCGCATCTAAAGCCAAGGGTCGAAGCCCCATCGCTTGAGCATACTGTATAGCAAGATGGCCCAGACCACCACCAGCGCCAGCTATAGCGACCCATGCCCCCTTCTTAAGATTGGCGAGCTTGAGGGCCTTGTACACTGTCACGCCCGCGCATAGGATTGGTGCCGCCTCAGCATCTGATACTCCTTGTGGGAGTCGAACGAGATATTGGGAGTCAGCAATCGCAAACTGAGCGAAGCACCCCTCCACATCTTTCCCACTGATCTTACGGTTCGGGCATAGGTTCTCATGGCCTGTAGTGCAGGGCTCACAGCTTTTGCATACTTTGGATAGCCATTTCACCGCGACACGGTCCCCTACCCGCCATGAGCTGGTGTCTACCTCTGGTCCCAGGGCGGCAATGCTACCAGCTCCTTCGTGTCCGCCTATGGAGACCGTAGGCTGTAGATATGGCAGATCTCTTCGCGCGAGATGTAAGTCGGACGCACAGACGCCGGTATAGTTGACTCTGACGAGCACCTGACTTCCAGTGGGAACTGGCGTCTCTCTTTCCTTGACTGATATTACCAACGTCTTGGCATTTTGTATAGCGGCCAGTGATGTATGGGGCACGTCGACGATCTGTGCAGGGAACATTTTTGGATTTCCACATTTGTGAATGCGGCTTCCGTTGAGGCCCTGGCTTACAAGAGACTGTGCCAGACGAAGTAGTGTTCTTATATACAAATGGTTCAGTGGCGAAATATGTACGTCTTAGTTCGCCGCGTTTGGTGAAGAATCTCCCAAGACTGGTAGACCACCTAGAATTGGCCACCAAGAGATATGGAGACAAAATACATAGACCGACCTAAGTGATCACGCATTTACGCATTTCGTAAAGGCTTCATGAACTTGTGATACGAAGCGCAAAGCCCAAGGCATCATTCACGGGACCATGCATCCGACCGGCCACGACATCCCCACCGTGGATACTTTGTAGTGAGATCCATCCCCATGGGGCTTGGAGACACAAGTTGTGGGAGGCCTTTATCTCCCCGTTCAAGCGGAGTGGCTGGCCCTGCAAGCGCCGTATTGCCGATTGGTATTCCCGATCATCAATTGAGCTCGGTCGCCCACCCTGGGGGAGACACCTTACACCGAGCCGCATTGTAAACAGCCACAGGTTTCTTTAGATTCATTCATTTCCAGACTGAAGACGACGTATTCATACCCTAGGTGACTTTTGACTTCGGAAACTTCTACCTCGATTCCCTTAGACACCTCAGACTCCTTTTTCTAGGCCCGTAAAATTTGCATTACAAACGATAGGAAGCCTGTCAGCCAAGTTAAATGGAGTCGAAGGTCGGTCGCACATTACTTAAAGTAGTATAACGCTACCGATCGAGCCGACCAAGCTCTACCAAGCAGCGGCGGGCGCTCAAGCCACCTCGGCGGCCAAGACGGGAGGCGTTAGGGGGGAGTTAGGACCTGGGTTGCTGGGAGCATCATCATATTGTCCCCTTGGGGTTTCTCAGCCCCGCGCCCGGTTCCATGCATCCGGATCCCAAAGCATCCACTTCTCCACAAAGGGGGAAGGTTGGCGTCATGGGCAAAAGAGCCTGCTCTTTGCGGGGTGCGTTGCCTTAAGTTTATGGTGTTCAAGGGTCATTTGGTAGCCAAGACAAGACATGGCGGCCAGGCGTTCCTTGTGCTAGGCATTTGTGGTAGCTCTTTTTTAACGTCAACCTCGGAGGAAGCACGCATCCGGGACTGTCAGCTAATCTTCTTGTAAGTCAAGACACGTGTGCGCATTTTATGGCCAATTTCGTATACTTAGTCTGCATAAAGATAGGAAGCCTGCTTGAACGAAAGTACGTTATGGGTTCGTCGTGGATGCCCTTGATTTTGCTTGGATTTCACTATGGGTACGAAGCAGGAATTGGATCATGTCGGTAAGTCTATTGGCGAGAGCGTCAAATCGTCCACTATGAACAATCATTGACGTTCGTATAAGCGGCTATGGAGCATCAGGAGAAGAGCGGCTCAGATATCGAGGAGCCGTCGTTAGCTCCTAACCTCAAGAAGAGGGATGGCGTCATTCTAATGCCCCAACCCTCGGATGACCCTCATGATCCTTTGAACTGGTGAGTAAATCATGAATATCAAATAACACGCAATAATTAACGAGAGTGCGTACAGGTCTTCTTTCCGTAAACACATGGCAATGGCCACGATCTCCTACCTGGCACTCACATGTTACATGACTGTGACTACTCTCGTGCCTGGCACCGTGGAGCTTGGAAAGGAATTCAACGTGCCCAAGGAGACAGCGGTGTACCTAGGAAGCACACCTGTCGCCTTGTATGGTGTTGGCCCATTCTTGTGGAGCCCATTGAGTCATTCCATCGGTCGCCGACCTGTTCTCTTACTCTGCAACATCATCGCAATCGTTGGCACCATCATCGTGGCAACTTCGCATTCATATGGTGCTTGTATGGCTGGACGTATCATCCTTGGCCTGGGTGGTTCAGCTTTCTGGAGTCTCGGACCAGCTAGTATTGGAGACATGGTAAGAGCATTGCTCGCACCAATTAGCAGGGAGATTTTGACATATCATACCTAGTTTTTCCGACATGAAAAGGGAAAGAAAATTGGCATTTCCACACTGGCTATCGTTGTCAGTCCTTTTGCCGGAGGTATTATTGGCGGTGCCATTATCGACAGCCCCAAGTTGGGCTGGAGATGGTCTCAGTGGATTCCACTGATTCTGATGGCAATTGGGTTCGCAATGCAGGTAGTTTTCCTTCCCGAGACCGTCTACGTACGAGAGATCGGGTCCCCCGGAGGCGTGCCCCAACCAGTGACTCCCACAAAGCCAACACGCTGGGGACGGTACGGTATCCATATACCAAAGCGGCCAGCAGACAAGAGAGACGGCTTTTGGTTTATTGCCTCGCGTCCGTTCGTCATGTTCAAGTTCCCTGTGGTTGTTCTCACGTCATTTTGGTTTGGCCTTGCCTACTGGTGCCATGTGGGCATTACTGCTGAACTACCTTTGATTTTCGAGCCAGAGCCATTCAACTTCTCTGTCACAGATGTGGGACTTGCTGCATTCTCTGGCCTGATTGGAGCGTTGATCGGTGAGGCTTATGCTGGCCCTGCCATTGACTACATTGCCAAGCGTTGCTTGAAGCAGGGCAAGGAATGGCGGCCGGAGATGAGATTGAAGGCTATCTGGCCAGCTTTAGTAGCCACGCCAATTGGCCTCATCATGTTTGGTGTGTCAATCCAGTTTGGAAATGCATGGATTACACCTCTAGTTGGTCAGGGCATTTACATCTTTGGGATTGAGATTGCGACGACTGTTTGGTACATATTTGAGTTCCTTTCGTTCGTGTAACACCTGGAGAGTTGTGCTAACATCAGGGGGTTTTGCAGTCAAACTTACCTTCTTGAATGCTATCCTCGACAAGGTGCCGAGGCCAGTCTTGTTTTTAATCTTTTCCGAAATCTTGTCTCGTATACAGCGCCTTTTTTCGTGCAACCGATGCTCAAGAAGGCGGGTGCCAGCTTGGCATTTGGCTTCTTCGCCATCGTGACGACATTCTTCTTCCCATTCACAATCGGGGTGCTGATGTGGCGTGGAAAACGCATCCGCGAAAAGAGTGGCGAACCAGGTTGGAGCAGAGATTGAGGTGTTAATAATGATAGCATATACACACAAGAGGGCATTATTCCGACAAGCAAGCAGCTATACAGACTCTAGACAAGCTGTAATGACTTATCTTCAATGAAACTCTGCATTGGCACAACTGATCATAGTCTGCACTCATCTCCAAAAGAGTCTGTATATTTGTCTCGCCAGTATTGTTTTTCGACCTTCACTAACCAGCTGTCAAGAGACAATTAGCATGCCTCCCGTAGGAGCTCTACGTATTTCGTATCAGAAGAAGACCGCAATAGACACCTAGCGCCCTATTGCCTGCACGGTAAGGCCTGTACCCCGCAATTGGAAGCTGTGACTGATAGAGCAGGGGCTGTGAGATAAGACCTGTTTATCTCGTACCTAAAAGGGCGTGACTTCACTACTATATAAAGAACCTACGCGCGTGTGAGGACAACCTCTTTCCTGGAAGCCATCCGTTAGCACTTTTCCCACAAATAAATACGAACGACCACTCGGCACGATGGCATCTGAGGCAGCAACTGAGAATGACCAGTTACCAAAGTCAGCGCCTGAGAGCTCTACCTCCATCAGAGCGTCTTGCCATTGCGGGCAAGTCACCATTGAGCTGCCTAATCCCCCGGAGCGTCTCAACGAGTGCCGGTGCAGCATTTGTTACAGTTACGGCGCGCTATGGGCGTACTATCCGCGCAGAGATGTTCTTATCACAGCAGGGGAGACGGGGTCACGCTACTACGTTCGCAAAGATGACGGCTGCGATGGAGACATCAGCTTCCACTGGTGCAACAACTGCGGGTGTATGACGCATTGGTGGGGAGAGGGTGATTCTGAGAAGAAGACGGGGCCGAACGCCAAGATGGGCTTCAATGCACGTATGTTGCCGGAGAAAGACATTGAGGGAATCAATAGGAATGTATCTTACTGCTGAGAATGGAGATGTTGCCCCCTTACGAAACATCTAGATGGTGATGAGGTGGACTCTAAATACGGTGCAGACAAGATCATGACCATCTAGGCATGAATATCTCACCCTCATTACTTCACCGCTGTTTTGTGATACCTTGACTGCCAGTTGCCTGTTCTCATGAAGCTTTCCAGGCTAGCTACTATACCTAATGTAGAAGTGTTAGCTAAAGGAGAGACATATATATATGCTTCTAGAAGGTTGGCATATGTTTTAAGACATGGGAACAGCCTTTGTTTCACCGGTAAACCAAACGACATAGCGGCATTCTACGAAACCGGAGATTGAATACCAGTCGATGCTTCACTTCTTTGTTCTAGTTGTAAACAACCAAATTAAATAGTGTGATGTCTGCTTTCGTCTTGCGAAGGACAACAGGGTACGAGTGGGAAGAACCCAACAAACTTGACGAATGGAAGCATACCGACCTTTGATGCTTGTTTTGGTGGGATCGATCTCGATAAGGAAAGGGCCAGCCAGGTCTGCATCTTTAAAGGTGGCCCAAGCTCCACTCCACAAACGGCAGACCCCTGCTCGGCAGCCAGAGTGAGTGTGTGCCAGTGCCAGTGGCAGTGCCAGCGCGGGTGTGCCTGCCCGCCCGCCAGGTGGTTCCGAGCCGTCCAATTCAATTTTTTTTCTGGTAGTGGAGAGAGCAGCAGCTGCGGGGATCGCTCCTGCCTCACCTCACTTACTGCCGCCTAGGTAGAGTATAGCAATCTTTTTTAGTGTGGAGGAGTGCACGCACATCATCGGCCTTCCGGTTGGTTCTTGTCTGTGCTTTCCCTCCTTCGGTCCATCTGCACCTGCAAGCTGCAGCTCACTCATCCGGACAAGACACTCCCTCACTACCTATCTACTCGTCCGTTTACATCGTCTTCCCGGGCAGTAGGAAGCAGCGCCGACAGCTACCTGCACCAGAGAGACGGCTATTGTCAAAGACTGCGACAGACAGCTGGCCAGGTTCACGCCATCCTCTTCAGCCTGGGAACCCTCTCTTGCGATACCTCACCTTCCCTCCACATCCCTCAGTAGCGACTCGGGTATCAACTGCGAAGCCGGCTGACGGCCTGTCCCTCACTCAACTTCTACCACCTACGGACGTCATCTCGATCGGCAATTGACACTCCCATGAACCAGGGTTGGCCCTCACGTCTCCATTTGCTGCAACCATATACAGGGTAGGTGGGTAGTTTGGAGGCTCTGAGTCAAAGATCCAGACTGGCTGAATTGTACATACACACTTCCTGTCCGTGGATCTTGATCGGCCTTAGCTGCCGTCATCCTTTCCTCCCGGCCTCAGCTGCTCTAGCTGGAGGGGAGCAACAAACGGAAAGACCTCATACATAGGACAGGGTACACCAAACACCATGGCTCCTCCTGCTGCGCCCGCTGCCAGATCTGGCGGCATGGTGGGCAACAAACCCATCAACCGCAAGCCTGTCGTTGTTCCTGCCATCCCACTCCCCTACATCCAGCGTCAATCAAAGCCAGCCCCCGCCACTGCCACGAAACCGCTCCCCAAGGATGACAAGGCCATCATCGCCCCGTCAGAAGAGACGCAAACGGCTCGGTCACCGCCTAGATCTGCAGTTTCTATCCCTGCATCTACTTCCGCTGCAGCTGTCAACGGCGAGCTCGCGGACAAGATCGATTCTCTGAAGGTGAAGGGCATCGCGCAGAAGACAGAGGCTCCCACTGAGCCAAATGCTGTGACCCCGGGCCCAGACCAGTCAGTCGGAGAGGAATTATCTACCTCTGCAGGTTCAGGTATTTACTTCCTTTGTTTGCGTCTCGCTTGTGTCTTCTAATCGTTCTTTCTCTTTAGAGCGCGAGCTGAGCCAGCCCCCAGCTGCTTTACGTCAACCTCCCACAACCTCACCTCCTCCGCCATACAACATGCCTCCGCCTTTCCAGCCTGCTTCAGCTGGACCTCACCATCGTGGCCCAGTTCCGGAGCCAGTCCGTCTGCCTCAGCACAACTTCAATGGTCGATCACATATGCATCAACACCATCCTAGTAATGGTAGCCTCATTTTTGGTGGCTTTCACGGCTCAAATACGTCCTCTCCAGCTCCACACTCCGGGGGCATGTTTGCTCCCCCTGTCACCATGTCCTATGCGCCTGAGCACATGGCTGCTGCGCCGGTTGACGAGTATGGCCGACCCATCTTGACGGCGGGCCCCTTAGACAATTATGGGCGAGGCACGAATAACTATGGCCCCTCCACCCCTCACAGCTTTCACGATTCGCAGTCCTCCAAGCATGTTGATGAGAATGGGTATGGCGCGCCGCCTTTCGTGAATGGTCTCAATGGTCATGACCACAGGCGCTACAGTGGCCCTACGACCAATATCAGTGCGAGATATCCTCCGGTGTCTGGCCCGCCTCCCATGCTCGACATGGATAATCGTGAAGAGGTGTACAGAATTGTGCAAGTCGGATTCTCCAATCCAGAGTTTGCCGATTGTGAGGTGCACCTCCACTTATCCGATGGAGCTTCATCCGAGAATCTCCAGCCTCCAGTCGCGCGCCGTCCACTCCATGTCCCTGCGCATCGCCTTATTCTTGCCCGGAGTCCTGTTTTGAGAACACAGCTGCTGACGCACGGAACCCCTGACGGCAAGCTCCATATTCTGTCGGATGACCCCTACATGCGCTCAGATGCCTTTTGGTTCGCTCTTCAGAGCCTTTACGGCAATCCTCTCCACGAAATTCAGCCAGATCCCGTGGAAGGCAGCAACAATCTGGAGAAGTTTGACATGACTTTGGCATATGCGGCATCTGGCTCCTTGCTTCAGGTTGCCCCAATCACGGTTCAGGGTATTCGGGATGCAAGCCGTCTGATCAACTGGGGCACTTTGGAGAAAGGCCTCGCCTTCGCTTTGACCGGGGCCACCATACTTTACCCTCACGGACATGAAGACCCCTCTGCGCAGTTCCTCATTCCTCAATACAAGCATGGAGTGTATGTGCACGATTTCGTTGCCGCCATCATGGCTTTCATCATCGACAATTTCCCCCCAGACTTCACGCTTGATACCTCCGTCCTGGACCCGAAGTACACACGAACTCCTTCGATGCCGGCTCTACCCCCGAGCGCGAACCGCGCTGAACCTACGATTGCACACGGCACTTCTGGATTCAACCCAGCCAGTCATGTGCGTGGGATACCCGGCCCCTCCCAGATGCCACAGAACCCGAGACTGTCTAATCCTCGCCTCTCCAATATCCAATTCGGCGACCTCTCCCCGCTTAAGAGCAACGGGCAAGGCTCACCTTCACAGCAGTCGCCGACATCACCATCAGATATGGTCACTTCCATGCTATCTCGCATTCTGCTGAATCTGCCCTTTGATCTGCTCAAGTACGTGTTGGAGAGCCAGGGCCTTGGAAATGTCTCCGGCTGGATGACGACACAAGATCGGCATAGGGTTGTGTCCGACGTTGTTGCGGAGCGCGAGGTCCGTCGTCTCCGAGCCCTGGACGCGGTGATGGGCGGGCGTGTACCGAATGCACAGGCCGTTCGAGCTCGTTTGCAGGGGCAAGATTCGCAGGGCGTAGGCGACACCTGGGATGTTTTGGGCTGGAAGGAGGAACTCTCTCCTGCCAGTACGGACAGCCCTTACATGGTACGCAGCTGGAACCCGCTGCATGGTTAGGCTTGTCGGGCAACGGGATCGAGTTTTCATCGCGCGGCCCGGTGTGATACTTGCTTATGGGATTATCACGACTGATGACATCAGACATGAGATGTTTAGGGGAGGCTAGTTCTCACGGACAAAAAAAGGGACACATTTTACTGATTAGCCTCGTGTGTTTGGCAATCCCGCCGTCTATTACACCGTCATTGATCTGGAAAGCATTGCGTTGGGTGTTGGAGTTTTGTATTTCTGCATGGAAACGGACTGCGGGTAATTCACCCCATTGTCCGAGGGCATATCCTCCTCGGGATCTCGATTTGGCTTTCGACTTGAGGTTGATGCCATTGAGAGATTGGACAACAAAGGCGATTTCTGTCGTCTTGGCATCAGGGTCATTAGAACCTCAACTTGTATCGTTCCTGACAGGTGGACCTTGCTTACGCTGGCCTGGCGTGACGAGACAGCCTGCCACTTTCGATTCTGTGGACAAATTTCTCGACGCATGGACTTGGTTTTCTCTTTTGCAAAATTACAGGGCACGGTAAAAAGAGGAGTTTTAAAACAAAAAGTAGCAAGGGCTCTTGCCAGGGATCACAAAGGGGGTCCTTAACGAATTGTGTGTTTGGCTGGCGGACAAGATTTAAGCTTCTAATACCCCTAGCTTCGTCTTTTTTTCATAGCAAGCATAGGCGACGACGCGCTTATCACCAGGATAGTCATGAATTGAGCCATCCTGTAAGTTTATTTGCATAGCCAGTGGTCGCATTGCCTCTTCAAGAGCCGAGCAATGTTGGTCATTTCGAGATTGGTGTGGTGTTTATTGCTACAACGGAGGAAGGGGCAAAGCAGCGAGCGATGGACTACTTTCCCTCTCTTTGACGATTCCATGACTTCACTCGACCATGGACGTGGATTCCTGCTTAGTGTTGGCCTACAGTTAGTTCATGGGATTCACCTCAATCGAAACCAAGTTGGTGGTGACCAAAAAGTCGCGTTTCTCAAGCTGTGGTCTGGCCCGAGGTTTGCATTGAAGAAACGAAAGGAAGTCTGGGGCTCGGAGATGACGAAATGCGCAGAGAGGAAGGGTCCGAGACACTAACTGGGATTACCTAGGTAGGAAGGAGGAAGGATAAACAGAATGTGGGGTTGGCTTCTTGACGCAAGTAACGTTAATTGCGTGCTGATAACTCCCTAGCGATTTAGTGGCTGTATGGAGCGTGCGGCGCGCGTTGTAGGCGGAAGTAGGCAAGCACATGAGAAGCCGAGGCACGTGTAAGACATCATCATAAAGCTAAATCACCTCCAGGAATGAAGCTCTGGTAAAACATACCCTCCAAGCCTCCCCAACGCGACACACGACACGGTCGGTATAGATGCGGGGGACAGCTGTCTTCAAGCATAATTCCGAATTTGATGATTCTGCCGTCTTGAACGTCAACTCTGGACTGAGTCCAGTTCAGATCTGAAGAAACGAATTGGACCCCAGCCACGACACATTGGCTGGTAACTGATAAGGCACACTTCACCTCGACAGCAGCAACCTCTATCCTCCACTTCAACAAACCGCTGCTGTAACACGGCCACAGTCACAATCAACGCATACCATCCCGATGGCCTCGACATCAGGCGGTCCGTCAAGCTCCAAGCCGCCGCCGCCGACTGCAGCGCCCCCGAGAAAGCCGTCCGTGTCCGCGAAAGCCACCGCCGACCCTGTCCTCCGCAACGCATTGCGGTACACCATCTCCGCGCGCGAATATGCTACGCTGCACAAGTACGTGCTGTCGCGCTCGCGCGTGCTGAAGAAACGCGCGCCGAGCGTCGAGGCTGTCCAGCGCATCATGCACGGAGATGCCTCCCCGGCAGGACCTGGTGCGAGCCGTAATGATAAGGCTTCAGACAAGGGCAAGGCACCCGAGACCGGTCACGGAGCTGGTGCAATGGTAGGAGCAGACGATTATAATGCTCGCGCGGTGCGGCATTCATTGCGTGTCTTCCTTACGACAGCTGCTGTGATGAAGCTAGGGGGCCTCATCTCGGCGCGATTGATGGGACAGAAGAAGGAGTAAGTGGACACTTCAGCCCGGCGATCTTGATATGAGGGGCTGCTAACATGCGAGTCCAGTGCTGGTGCATCAGCTCAGAAGAAGCAGCCGCTCTATAAGTCCCCGACACTCAGACTCTCATTGTCTCTGAGCACGATTCTTCTCCTGTATCGACTCCTATTCCGGTTCTTCACCAGGCTGCGGCTTCATCTTCTCGACCCGTCGGCTACCCCTTTCCGTTTGCGCAACCCGAGGACAGCCAACACTCTAACCTCGCCATATGCACCCGCGGTGGGCGCCTCTCTCGCCGGTCTGGCGCTCGGCATTTACCCTGCGCAACAGCTTCGGGTGTCGGTAGCGATCTACACCATGTTCCGCGCCCTTGAGTTCGGCTGGAATATGGCAGAGGATGGTGGCATGGTCTGGGGATGGGAGAAGAACGGCAAGGTCAAGAAAGAACGGCCGTGGTGGTTCGGCAGTTGGATGCTGCAGCCATTCGCATTCGGGCAGCTGCTCGATGCTGTCGTGTTTGATAGGGATTGTTTCCCTGCGGGATTCGGCGATTTCATCTTCAACAGATCCTCGGCTTACTTGCCTGCTAAGCCCAAGGACTATCCTACAAATGTCGCGTGGCCGAGCACTTACCAGGTCGTGGATAGCCTCGCGCAGATGGCGCGTCTGAACTGGCCGTAAGTGAAGTAAATCTACTCTCCCGAGACAGATAACTAACGCAAGAAACTAGACCATTTATCTCGCCAACACTCTTCCCAGGCAAGGAGGACACGCTGCCACCATCCCTCTCGGTGATCGCGCCGTTGACAGCCCCAGCGCATCCCCTCATCACATCCCTGAGTTGCGCGACACTTCACCCGTCTGATCCCTCCTGCAGCCGCACATTCCTCACCTTCTGGCTGCGATCCTTCCCACCGCTTACACGCTTATTCCTAATCCTCTACTCGGCGCTCGTCCTTCCCAAATTCAGATCATTCTACAACTTCCCCGTCTCGACGCTCAACCAAGTCGCCGCCCGCGCTCTGCGCATGAGCGCCTTCCTCACGGGCTCCATGTCGACGGCGTGGGCCAGCATTTGCTTCTTCCAGAGCTGGTTCCCGCGCGGGTTCCTGCCCACGCAGCGCTTCTTCCTGGGCGGCTTCCTGGCGGGCTTCTGGGCGTGGATCGAGAGGCGGCACGGCCGCGGCGTCTTCCTGTACTCGGCGCGCGTCAGCGTCGACAGCCTGTGGAAGGTTGGTGTGAAGCGGCGCTGGTGGAGGGCGATGAAGGGCGGCGACGTCTGGGTGTTTGTGCTGGCGGTCATGCTGACGGGCGTGGTTTACGAGAGGGATGCGAAGGCGGTGCGGGAGAAGGGCTGGCGGAAGGGAATATCGTGGGTGCGCGGTGAGGGGTGGAGGGACTGGGCGCTTGAGGAGGAGGTTGATGATGGCGAGGAACAAGAAGATGAGGACCGTGAAGTGGAGGAGTTTGAGGCGGAAAACTGAGATACGATGGCGATGTCACGCCAGAGCAATAATGCGATATGAGCTATGCGAAAGAATGAAATGTCAACTGTCCCTAATTAGATACTAATTGCAATCATCTCAGAGTGCCTTCCACTTTGTCTTCGTGTTTCTTTCACTTAGTTCACTTCGGATGACCTACACAACAAAGCGATACATCACAATTTCACTCAATGGTCCAGAGAGAGAGCCAAGCTACTACTAAAAGATGGCTTATCAAGGATTGATATAGACAATGGGTCATAAGCATTTAGCTAATCACAAGTGCAGCTGAAACAGGGTGCTGACCGCAATTGCAACAGTCCCAGGGGGGTTGGCTTCGTCGGCTATTCCGCGCTCACGTCATTGAAAAGGGGACCGGATCGCGCCAACTTGTCTTTTCTCACGATACCGACTACAAAACTCTAGATGTGAGATTGACTGCAGCTTTCGGATGCACTCCGCTATCCGATGGGGCATCTGAGACCATGTGTCGAGCCTCGGAATGAGGCGGTAAGGACGAGGAGAGGGCACACGAAGAGTCGCGGTGGGTGTCAGAGTTGCAAGGCGCGCCACGTGCGGTGTGATGAAGGGAAGCCAATTTGGTTCGTTTACATCGATTTCTCGACTTGGATCTTCGATACTGATCATAATCTAGCAAGATCTGTCTCATTCGAGGCTATGCGTGCGGTTACGGCTCTGCGCCGTTGCCAGTCCGGCATGGTGGGAAAGCCTCCTTCACTTTCCGACCACTATTGGTAGCTCCGTCAAGTTGTATCATGCCGTCTGGCTCTTCATACAACGCCTTTGGTGGCTTAAACATACGCATGCCGTATAACTCATACCAGCTTCTCCATCATTGTATGCTCCGTTTTCTTTCTTGATATATGGGTTAGATGGAATGAGCGAGGCGTGACTAACCTACCGAACTCAGTTATTCAGATTCGCAATGACTTACGGAGTATCTCTCATACAAATCTGCAACTAAACAAGTACGTCGAACTCACCATCTAGAGCTCGAATCAATGGGTTTCTAGTCAAAGCCCGATAGATCATGATGTTATTGACTTTAAAACAATAGGAAGGTCGTTCCAATTGTCAATGATCATCCTGCATGGCTAAGCAGCCTTTTGCTCCTGGCTGCTGGGCATGAATTCGGACTGACAGGTCGCTCTGATTGGATTCGAGGGCCGACGTTTCTTCACCACAAAGCAGAGGTCATTAGACTCCTGAAAGAGCAAATTCTTCTTAAGCCAACTGCTCTTGAGAGCTGGTGTCCTCTAGTGGTTTTTATCTTGATCATGATGGAGGTAGGTGTTCCAAACTGAGTCGCCAGATGCCTTCCAAGTGACTTGACTAACTGTTTCGCAGAGCCTTGGACGGGATCTGAAGGCCGTGGAGGTTCACCTACGAGGTGTCTTTACAGTAATGAAAATGAGACAGTCATCTCAGCAACTACTACCGAGACTTTCTCTCCTGTGAGCCTCCTGTTTATATTCATCCCTAATCGTTCTCACTAAGTCGTGAGCAGGACATTGAGCTTCCTAGAAGCAGCACAAAAGAACGAAGATTTCAATCCCCCCCGATGGCGCAACTCCATAGATTCCATAGCTCCCACAAGGAGCTGGGACTGGGCTAATGCCGCCTATCTCCTGTCTCACCTTATAGGGGAGTTCTTGCTCCAGAACGAAACACTCATTCTTACCAGGACGGACAAATCTGGCGACGATACTGTCTTGACCTGGCTCATTGGAAGTCTGCGGGATGAACGAACTAGGGGCAAAGTGCGACAGCGAGACAAGTTCATTGATATGGACGGGATTCGAATTTGCGCTTACAACTCGCAGAGAAAGATGTGGATATTGGCTGCCGCCGCTTATATTTTGCTTGTGGCTGGTTCTCAAAGCATCTACGATGCTGCAATGGGGAAGGGAAATAGCGATGACAAGCAGGCGAGAGGAACACGCGCACTGCGTGAGATTCAGATCTGGTGGGAGGAGAAGATGCGCTCTTGGGGGGATTCGGGGAAGATCCCTGATAGTACACTTACGGATGACGTCCTCGACCATGTCGCTTGGCTGACTTCTCAAGAAGGCGAAGTCGCCATTGATCAGCTATTGTGGTATAAGAGGCATGACACGATGTAGCGCAGACAATCAACGCAGATAAACATCACAATAGTCAAGGAGAAAGATGTGAGAAATATCTAACGTTAGCGTTGTACTACATAATGAAACTTATCTCGGTCAATCCAGTTTTCGTCAATAAAATCAAACTCATGAAATTTGTCAAACAAAATTATGAGGAAATCGAAGGTTTGATGATGAATGCGGAGCAGTGGTCTCTTTTTGGCCATCGGAGGATGTCTTAGGGGGTGCGGCTCTTGGCGAACAGCCTTGGCTACCAATGCAGTGGGAACGATCCCGAAAGTTCAACGTTAAAATGCGGGACGTCGCCCTTGATTTAGCCTGAAGTGTTCCCTTGACCTATCATTGGACTTTCTCGGTAGGTTATTTCGTGAAAGAGCTATCATAACCCGGAAAACATTGTCTGGGTCTTGTCGAAGCTAGGATCTAGGGAACCAGACTTTCTGACAATAGATTCACGTGGAACGATTGTCAATCGTGAGGTGATGCTGTCTCCTGAGGAGTAAGTAGGCGTTCTGTCACATGGAACTTCCGCGTCATTGGCGGAGAAAATGGGACGGAGCTGTTTCCCGGCTTTCAAGCTCTAGCTTTATTCTTTTTGGTCTGTCAGGACTATGTTTTTCGGAGGCCAGGACCGAAGAACGCCTTTCTGTGTTCAAAAGCGTACGTCTCAGCTATGCCACGATACATGTTAGATCTATATCAGGTATAGAGCCTGCAAGGTTTACTAAGACTGGTTAGCTGTTTCCGTAAACCGGGTACCATCCAGGGTCGTGTCACAAATATAGTCGACGAAGAGAAACATGGATGCATACTTGACGAGTCAGATCGATAAGATATACTATATAAGTAGCCACTCACCTTCAATGTTGATTCCCTCGAAAATGCATCTCTGTAGGAAGATTTCATTACCAGTGAATTGTTTCTGGGAAGAGAACCTAGGGCGATACCTTGGCATATCGGAGCTCCCAACATTGATGCTGATATTGAGCAATGCATAGCAACTCCTTAATACTAGCCCTTGTGGCCCCTGCGACTGTATTAGCTCAGCTCAATAGCCTTGCTGTTGCGGCCGGTCTGAAGTATTTCGGTACTGCCGTTGATGAGCGCCATACTACTGACGATGCTTCATACATAGCTATTGTCAATAATGTCCAAGAGTTTGGTCAGGTGGTGCCGGAAAATGGACAGAAGTGGCAGAACACCGAGCCAAGCCAGAACTCCTTCTCCTATACTCAAGGAGACATCGTACCAAATGTGGCCAAGAAAAATGGACAGATCCTTAGGTGTCATACTCTGGTGTGGTACAGCCAACTTCCCAACTGGGGTGAGTCGTCGATTTAATGCTGTCGACTGTCACTAAGTCAAAATAGTATCATCTGGTAGCTGGACACGGACTACTCTTCAGTCGGTGATTGAAACTCATATATCAAATGTCATGAAGCATTATATCGGCCAATGTTATGCTTGGGACGTGGTCAACGAAGCGGCGTCTGACGATGGAGGCTGGCGAGACTCTGTCTTCTACAGAACCTTCGGCACGGATTTCCTCCCTATCTCGTTCAAGGCTGCGAAGGCTGCTGACGCCAACACAAAGCTGTAAGCCAAATGAGAATAACCGAAGTTCGGTTCTTGAATATGTACTAACAACTAAGTAGATACTACAATGATTATAACTTGGAATACAATGGCGCAAAGACAGATCGTGCCGTGCAGATCGTTCAGATCATTCAGAACGCTGGTGCCCCCATCGATGGTGTTGGTTTCCAGGGGCACTTGATTGTGGGCTCAACCCCTGGCCGAAGCTCGTTGGCTACGGCTCTCCGACGGTTTACGGCACTGGGCGTCGAAGTTGCCTACACAGAAGTCGACATCCGTCACTCTTCTCTGCCGGCATCCTCGTCGGCACTTGTCACACAGGGCAATGACTATGCCAATGTCGTGGGGTCCTGCCTGGATGTTGCTGGGTGTGTGGGCATCACCGTCTGGGTATGAAAGAAATTCATTGCATATCGCAAAACCTCGAGCTAACTTGTTTGCAGGGCTTTACCGACAAATATTCTTGGGTGCCTGACACCTTTAGCGGTGCCGGCGACGCCTTGATCTACGACAAAAACTTCAGCAAGAAGCCCGCCTGGACCTCAGTCTCATCTGTGTTAGCTGCGGCGGCAACTGGAGGCCAGCCTGCTTCTAGTAGCACTAGGGCCAGTACCACGTTGGTCACGTCGACCACTACGCCTCCAACTACAACGACGACAACATCGACCCGGGCATCTACTACGTCTACGGCATCTGGCGCACAGCAGACACACTGGGGCCAGTGTGGAGGAAGTGGCTGGGCTGGGCCTACGTCTTGCCAAAGTCCTTGGACGTGCCAAAAGCAAAATGATTGGTATTCTCAGTGCTTGTGAGGAAATTTTATGGATGTTAAGATGGATGATTCAAAGGTACTGGCTGGCTGTTCATAGTATATATATTGTGACTTGAGGTTTGATAATGGCTCACTTTCAGTATCATACCTTCCCTTGTCTGCGGGAACGGAAAACTTGAGTTTCATGCCATGTAGAAGTCAAGTTGTATGCTGTATTACTTATCGGTAGCTGCCTCGAGATCGGCTTGACTGTGTTATCGATAGAGAATGAATAGGCTAGGCACGGCTGTGCTTCAACAGTCTTGGCACACAGCCCGTGATGCCCCCTATCATTGTTGAATTCATTTTCTCATCGCGTTTGAAGGTTGTTTGAAGCTTGGCAATACTCATTTTCAACAGAGAAACAAACAGCGCCTGCTAATGTCGACTGTTTCTACCTAGTTGCTAATCGAGCTTTGACTATTAGGGGTGTTGATGTCGCTTTTCAGCACAGCTGCAAAAAAGGGGCTCAGCACCTGGCTATCACCAACCGAATCGCTCACTTTCACTTACGAATCCATATCAACACAGATGTGCTCTACGAAATCCTATCAGGGACGATGATCTAAATAATTTGACCAAATGCGCCGCATATGATTAGCAGTACCCGCCTTTTTCTGATCTGGCACTGCCACACCGCTGAGATTACAGGCATTACAGCCGGATGACAAGTGCCAACACAGCTTGCTCGGGGAGTTGGAAGCCCCCGTTTGGCCGCTGACTGGAGAGCTTGGTGGCCGAAAGCGAACTTGAGCTGTTTATTGTCTCCACCTGTCACTCGTGTGAATTACTAAGACGGACAACCTGGAGGTCCGACACGTATCGGAGCCTGAATAGTACAGCTTCTGCACAGAACTTGGGGAACTGAGATGTCTTGATACACGCGACTACGTCCTCGATCTGCATGTGAAAGACACGATGGGACCTATGAACAGTGTAACCATCTCGACCCCAGCTAACAAACCCCAAGAAGTTGTGGTATGTAGAATTGCATAACATTCGCCTCCAAGGAGAGTTGAAAAGATACGTTGTCCCGTGCGAGGCTACTGAAGTTGACAGCTGCCGGAGCAAGGCTATCCTGTCCTGTGCTTTCAGTTGATTATACCGTCGATTCGGCGGACCAGCCAGTCGGTTGAATAGCCGTTCCGTGATGGATGCTAACGTGCGGCCCGGGATAGTGGTGGGCCTGTTTAGCACGTGGGAGACGTGTCTTGTATCCAACTTGTGTACTTCGTAGTACGACACACACGGCAAACTCATGTTCGTGTCTGTACATGACATATTTGGTGACGGGGCATCTACGGTACAACTTTGAGTGCGGCACGGAGGGTTATCTAGGGACTAGTACAGTTGCAACTACAAGTCACAGGCTGACTTGGGAGGTGGCAGCGCTTGGCGACAATCACCCGAGATTTGGGCTCGGGGTTCTAATCTTGGCGCACTTGTCCGCCAGACAAACGGACGGAGTACCGCCTAGAGGCATTCTCTTGTCGTATCTTGTGCGCGCGAGCCGACTTGGCGCGGACGAATCGCGCCCACGCGCATGTCAAAGCCGTTCATGTCAAGCTGGAAACCGTGAGAGGATAGACCAGGCTGACGAACAGGTGAGATGATGTGAGCTTTGCCTTGTCTCTGATGTGATAAGACAACCAGTCAATGTTAGTCTCACTCGAGCGTTGGGATAGGCCAATGCCTTGCCCAAGAAACTCAGCAGAGTTCGGCCGAGTCAAAAGTTTAAGGGGCACTGGACCGGACACATGCGGGGTGCGCTTGAGTCGGGATTGTGCCGCCACCCGCTCACTCGTCGTGATTCTCCCAAGCTGAGTGATGCCCGCCATCGGTCCGCTTGAGCTTGTCAGGTCAAGAGTCCAGTTGGAAGGCATTTCATGATATTTGGGTTTCGATATCGCTAAGAGGAAAGCTTCCAGAAGTGACAGCACCTGCATTGTCGCCAGGGGTTGAGAATGGACACTACCACTACTACCAATGACACGGACTCTGTTATTCCCGCTAGGTGTAAATGAATGCTTCCATTATTGGAATGCGACACTTAATCATAATACCTACCTGACCTTACTATGCAGTAGGGCGGCAAAACCAGGTAGCCGGACATGAAGAGTTAGTGCCAAGTTCATTGGAGCATTTGTGTGCTGAGTAGAGTAGAGCGGGAAGTCGATGGCGGGTTATCGGGCTGAATTAAGAGCCCGAGAGACTCCCGCACTGGAGAAGAGACCCTCTTTTTGCTCATTTCTTTGGGGGAACCAGGCGAGGCAGGCCCTGGCTTGGCTCTGCAGTCTGCGCAAGTGTCCACGCGGGCTCGTCCAACAGCCCGTACGAATACGGTTGGCCTCTGGCGAGAGGCACCGCAACGGATCCCATTGGCTGAGGTGTTGAGATCTGATCGGCTCGTATGTGTTACTCTTCTGGGAGAGATACTGCTCTTCCCTCTCTTGGCGGGTTAGCCTCCTCGGAAACTCGCGATCCCGAAGATATTGTCGCCTGTCAGAAGCCTGCACCGACCAAGACCAACATCGGCAGCCATCACCGACGCGCAGCGGCTGAGGAAAGAGAGCGAGCGAGTGACTAATGACAGCGTTTTGTAACGTCACTCGAGGCTGGTGATGATGACGAAGAATGGCTCATCCAGAGTAAGAGTACAAAATCGCGTCTCCCGCCGTTGCTACAAGCGGATACCCTAGACACTTCAGGTCCACCAAGACAAGACAGGTCCTACGTGTAAGAGGAGACTAATTACTGGGAGGATTAGACGGCAACCCGCCTATCCTATGAGCTTATCGTTAAATCACGATTCGCAAGCTGGTGGAACTCCGCCAGGAACGCAGCGAGAGAAAAGCACATGCACGACATGGTACTCGTTTCTTTTCAGTATCTCTCTGTCTGTTTGCGGTCAGATTTTAGACCGGCGCGGGGATCCATCTGCCACTTCACGGCGCAAATCCGGAAACTTTTTCGCTGGCATCCCCATCTTACACGCATAACCAACCCTAGGAAGTTTCTCTTGGTTGTGAGGGGAATGTACCTCATTATGTAGATGTAGAGTAGCTGATGTGCATCCAATAAGTCTTACGGTCCCGGTCCCGGTCCCGTAACATCCTTCTGGAAAGTCGATGCCCACATGGCTCCCCGTACCCTAGAATGTATACAATGTCAGTACCTACTGCAGACTTGTTCGGCTTGGGTTCCGAAACTGACAATCAGGGGGATGGAAGGGAATGAGCCTGCGAGAGTCAAATTAGCTACCTACTGCAGGCAACTCACAGCGCACAGAAGCCATGTCTGATGCGCATGTGTTTTTAGGCTATAGGGACTTTTGACACCTGAAGCACCTGTGTTAGTTGGCCTCGCTTGCCGAGTCATGGGCAGCCGTCGTGAACGCTGTTTGTCGTCAAACAGGCTCATGTTGCACCTCATCGACTCTTTTGCCCCTTATTAAGCCGGCGACGACTCATTCGCCCATCGTTCCTTCCTGCCTTGTTAAGTGACTGCGACGCTATGTCAGCTAGCAGGAATCCTGAGAATCCATCGCATCGATGATGGAGCTTGGCTTGGATTTGTCTTGTCTCGTTTGTGCAGTAATACATTCATCGATTGCTCTTCACTCTTATTTACTACGCGTACGGGCTTGGATTCGGACTTTTGTTAGGGGCCGGCAGGCCTAATCCTGACCCACTCGGGACCCTATTCGGCGGAGCAGCTTGAATTCCGCGTACTGGATCGGCCACTTGGACCCCTGCCCCCAATACACCATTACAGGTCTTTTATGGGGACCAGTTAGGTACCAGCGAAAGCCCAGGAGCTCGTTAATTTATCGAGGTTCTTGCCTTACGAAGGTGCGAGCTTCCGCCCCAAGTCACCGAGAATGGCTACTGATTATTTGATTGATTGCACCATCCCATCCCACGCTACCCAGTTACCCATCGCATCGCATCGCATCGCATCTTAATCCCGGTCCCGCCTTCCTTCTCACTTGCTCTGTGTCTTCGCTCAATGAGCTAGCTTCGGTGGGTTTTTGTAGTGTGTCGGTAGTGTAATGTATAGAAGGTACCCACCCGTTGACACCAACACTAGCAAGGTACTTGGAATTAGTCGAGGAAGGTACCACCTACTCGTTCGTAATAAGCGAACAAAAACACCCACGCCAGTATCAAAACACCACCATCTCCCACCCAAAAGCTACTTTGCTGTGCCTTCCTCTTCTTTTTTGGATCCCACCTCTTTCCCTTTTTGAGGACAATTCTTCTTCTTTTCTCCCCTCGCCCTTTCCCTTCTTGTCGCTCTCTCTTCCCCTCCTCCTTCATCCGCCGTCTTCGTCCGTCCGAACTGATCTTTGGACTGCTCGATATCTCAGGGACCTACCCCGGGTATCTACGGACGCGCACTTACACGCAGCTTAGTCTAAAACGAACGGCGATCGCGCCTTCTCGCCTAGGACGAAAAGTCACCCGATTTTTGGTAAACACGCAACTTCCTCAGCTAGCGCATTGGGATTGACTATAAGGTCTCCTGGATTGCGCCTGCCTGCCTTCTCACCATGTCCTTCGTGGGCACTGGCGCTTTCGGCAACTATGACCGATCTGCCCAAACCGGCGGCATGCCTTCACTAGCTAGAGTCGGCACTCACGAGGCCGAGGAGGAACAACCGCATATTACTCACCACACGAGCCACCACCACCACCACCACCACCACGCAGCCGATCACCATCACGAGAATGCCGACTCCGTTGACCCGGAGAAGGAGAAGGCTCAGGGCGATGGCGCCGAGGTGAGCCGCACCCGCACCACCTCCGTCACCGAGGCGGGCGGCGACAACGAGACCTCCCGCAAGGAGGAGAGGGGCAGCACTCCCGAGACCGAGACCAGCGAAGACGATGAGGCCATCGAGGAGGCCCGCCGCAATAGCATGGTCCAGGCTCTGGCCCGCAAGTACACCTCTCAGTCGCAGTATTCTGGCCCCGTGGGCGACAACCCCTTCCAGGCGGCCGCCGAGGATCTCGACAGCCCCCTGAACCCGAACAGCCCGCACTTCAAGGCGCGTGCCTGGGCTCAGTCCATTGTCGACATGGTCTCTACCGAGGGCCACCAGTTCCGCACCACCGGCGTCGCATTCCAGAACATGAACGTCTTCGGCTTCGGCGTCGCTACCGATTATCAGAAGGATGTCGGAAACGTATGGCTCGAGGCTGCCGGCCTTGTTCGTCGTTTGTTTGGCAATGGCAAGCGGAGGATCGATATTCTGCGGTCCTTCGACGGTGTGGTCAACAAAGGCGAGATGCTTGTCGTCCTGGGCCCTCCAGGTTCCGGCTGCAGTACTTTCCTCAAGACAATTGCTGGCGAGACCAATGGTATTTTTGTTGACGATAGCTCCTACTTCAATTACCAAGGTAAGTGTTGTATTCCCAGGACTCCACCATCACATCACATTGCGATTGGCAGTGAGACTGCATTCCTGAGCGCCTCTGCGCAAGCCATGCCGCTCGACCCCGCCAAAAAGACGTCACATTAGGGACACAGGGCGCATGGATATCATGGCTAACACGTTGGCAGGTATGACCGCCAAGGAAATGCACACTCACCACCGTGGTGAAGCCATCTACACAGCTGAGGTCGATGTTCACTTTCCGCAGCTAACCGTGGGCGACACCCTCACCTTTGCCGCCAGGGCGCGCGCTCCGCGCCATCTCCCCGCTGGACTTTCGCACACTGTGTTTTCGAACCATTTGCGAGATGTTGTCATGGCCATGTTCGGCATTTCTCACACAATTAACACCCGCGTCGGTAACGAGTACGTGCGTGGTGTTTCTGGTGGTGAAAGAAAGCGTGTTACCATTGCTGAGGCCGCCTTGTCCGGAGCTCCCCTGCAATGCTGGGATAACTCCACCCGTGGTTTGGACAGTGCAAACGCCATTGAGTTCTGTAAGACTTTGAGACTGCAGACTGAGCTGTTCCACAACACAGCTTGCGTTTCTATCTACCAGGCACCCCAATCTGCTTATGACCTCTTCGACAAGGCCTGTGTCTTGTACGAGGGTCGCCAGATCTTCTTTGGAAGGGCAGATGCGGCCAAGAACTATTTTGTCAACTTGGGTTTCGAGTGCCCGGCTCGAGCTACCACCCCGGATTTCCTGACCTCCATGACCAGTCCCCAGGAGCGCATTGTCCGGGCTGGCTTTGAGACCAAGGCCCCTCGTACCCCTGACGAATTTGCCGCTGCTTGGAAAGCCAGTGCCGAGTACAAGGCGCTGCAGGCGGAGATTGAGGAGTACAAGACCATTCATCCGATTAATGGCCCCGACGCCGAGGCTTTCAGGGCCAGCAAGAAGGCCCAGCAGGCTAGAGGACAACGTCTCAAGTCTCCCTTCACCCTCTCATACGTGCAGCAGATTGAGCTTTGCTTGTGGCGAGGCTGGAGGCGTCTTATCGGTGACCCGAGTTTGACGCTTGGCGCGCTCATCGGTAACTTCGGCATGGCTCTGATCATTGCCAGTGTCTTCTACAATCTCAAGATGACGAGTTCGGCCTTCTTCCAACGAGGTGCCCTTCTTTTCTTCGCTTGTCTCATGAACGCATTCGCTAGCGCTTTGGAAGTAAGTTTCAATTCTCTCCAGCCGAGTGTGCCACTATTGACAGCCGTTTAGATTCTGACCCTCTATGCTCAACGGCCTATTGTTGAGAAACACTCCCGTTACGCCTTGTATCATCCTTCCGCTGAGGCTGTCGCATCGATGCTTTGCGATATGCCGTACAAGGTCCTAAACGCACTGGTTTTCAACATCACTCTGTACTTCATGACTAACTTGCGACGGGAAGCTGGTGCATTCTTCTTCTTCCTGCTGATCTCGTTCTTCACTGTACTAGCTATGTCCATGATCTTCCGAACTATTGCTTCCGCCTCGCGAACGCTCTCGCAAGCCATGGTTCCGGCTGCTATGCTCATCCTGGCTCTGGTCATCTTCACCGGTTTCGTCATCCCGATCGATTACATGCTTGGTTGGTGCCGATGGTTGAATTATCTCGACCCGCTTGCCTATGCATTTGAGGCCCTGATGGTCAATGAGTTCCACAATCGGTCGTACCGGTGTACCGAATATGTTCCCAGCCCCGCCTTATCGGAGTACGCCACTGTTGGCCCATCGAACCGTATTTGCTCTGCCGTCGGCGCTGTCGCTGGATCTGATGTTATTATTGGTGATGACTACATTAACACGGCCTTCCAGTACTACCACGCCCACAAGTGGCGTGATTTCGGTATTCTTATTGTCTTCATGCTTGGCTTCCTCGCCACCTACATGATTGCTGCTGAGCTGGTGTCTGCCAAGAAGTCTAAGGGCGAAGTCTTGGTCTTCCGTCGTGGTCACCGCCCAGCTGCCTTCAAGGAGCGCAAGCAAGACGCGGAATCCGGTCCTGTTGTCAGTGGTCCCGCAGTCGCAGCCGCTGAGAAAACTACGGGAGAAAAGCAGAACGATGCTGCCTTTATCCAAAAGCAAACCAGCGTTTTCCACTGGAACAATGTCTGCTACGATATTAAGATCAAGGGTGAACCTAGGCGTATTTTGGACAACGTTGATGGCTGGGTCAAGCCAGGTACTTTGACAGCTTTGATGGGCGTCTCTGGTGCCGGTAAAACTACTCTACTCGACTGCTTGGCTGACCGTATCAACATGGGTGTCATTACTGGTGAGATGCTTGTTGATGGCCACCAACGTGATACATCCTTCCAGCGGAAGACAGGCTACGTGCAACAGCAAGATCTTCATCTCGAGACCACTACTGTCCGTGAAGCTCTCAACTTCAGCGCTCTCTTGCGCCAGCCGGCCCATGTCCCTCGCGCTGAGAAATTGGCGTATGTCGACGAAGTCATAAAGCTATTGGATATGCAGGAGTACGCCGATGCCGTTGTCGGTGTCCCAGGTGAAGGTCTGAACGTCGAACAAAGGAAGCGCTTGACTATTGGTGTGGAACTGGCTGCGAAGCCTCCTTTGCTGTTGTTTGTAGACGAGCCGACGTCAGGTCTTGACTCCCAGACTTCGTGGGCCATTCTGGACCTCCTCGAGAAGCTCACCAAGAGCGGCCAGGCCATTCTCTGCACTATTCATCAACCTTCCGCTATGCTCTTCCAGCGATTCGACCGCTTGCTCTTCCTGGCTAAAGGTGGAAAGACTGTTTACTTCGGCGACATTGGCGAGAATTCCAAGACAATGACCAGCTATTTCGAACGCAATGGTGGATTCCCCTGCCCTCACGACGCCAATCCCGCCGAGTGGATGCTTGAGGTTATTGGCGCGGCACCCGGCTCAACTACAGATATTGATTGGTTCGAAACTTGGAGAGAAAGTCCCGAGTACAGCTCTATTCAGGGCGAATTGCAACGCTTGAAGGATGACCGAAAGGAGATGAGACCTACCACAGAAGACAAGGGCAGTTACAACGAGTTTGCTGCTAGCCTGCCCAGCCAACTATTTGAGGTCACTCATCGTGTCTTCCAGCAATATTGGCGAACACCTTCTTACATCTACTCCAAGGCTGCTCTCTGTACTCTTGTGGCGCTCTTCATTGGATTCGTCTTCTTCAAGGCCCCAAACACCATCCAAGGATTACAGAACCAAATGTTTGCCATCTTCAATTTGCTCACAGTCTTCGGCCAGCTCGTCCAACAAACCATGCCGCACTTCGTCATTCAACGATCACTATACGAAGTACGTGAGAGACCCTCTAAGGTTTACAGCTGGAAGATCTTCATGCTCAGTCAAATCATCGTGGAGTTACCCTGGAATACGCTCATGGCAGTCATCATGTATGTCTGCTGGTACTACCCTGTCGGCTTGTACCGCAATGCCGAGCCTGCCGACCAGGTTACTGAGCGTGGCGCTCTTATGTTCTTGCTCCTCCTTGCCTTCCTGCTCTTCACGTCTACCTTCACCGATATGATCATCGCTGGTTTTGAGACTGCTGAGGCTGGTGGAAACATTGCCAACTTGCTGTTCATGCTTTGCTTGATTTTCTGTGGTGTTCTCGCCAGTCCCGATACGCTCCCAGGATTCTGGATCTTCATGTATCGCGTCAGCCCCTTCTCGTATCTTGTATCCGCCATGTTAGCGACTGCCGTTGCGAATACAGAGGTTACATGTGCCGCCAACGAATTCTTGAAATTTGATCCTGTTTCGGGAACTTGCGCCGAGTACATGAGCACCTACATCGCCAAGGCCGGTGGCTACCTGACAAACCCTAACGCCACCGAGGCCTGCAACTACTGCTCCGTCAAGGAAACTAACGTTTACCTTGTGGGTGTGAGAGCGGAATACCAGTACCGCTGGAGAAATTTTGGTATCTTCTGGGTCTTCATCATCTTCAACATCTTTGGTGCTCTGTTCGTCTACTGGCTCGCTAGAGTGCCCAAGGGCAAGAAGAAGAAGGCTGACTAGATAAATCGCGCTCGAAACGGCCGATTGCATGAGAAAGAGGTGGCAGAAAGCTGGAAAACATTCATTTATTTCAGCTTCATTTTTCCTTATTGTCACATATGGAGTCCTGTATCTGCATTCCTCCGGGATATTTTGTACATTCCCTAATAGAGCTGGGTTGGTAGAAAACGGGGAGGGTTCATTGTAGATATAGACAGGTGTCTGGATCTTAGATGTAAATACCTACACAGTTAATGATAGTAGTACCAAAACATTTCCGGTTGCACAGGTCATTTTTGGTTTCTTTCGGATAAGGTACCCCGCCAAGAGTTTCTTTAATGCAGCCCTATGGGAATGGGCCTATCTTTAGACTGGGGGTGACATGTCGGTGGAGCACTGTCTGTGACTTGAATCCAGCAGCTTGGCCATCGAGATAGTAAGTAGAGACAAAATAACCTATCCAGGTAATTCAAGAAAGCTGCAGTCAGTTGGTGTTGGTTGTTTGGTTTCTGATTACTCTGATTTCTCTTGAGAACCCCGAGTTTCCTTACAAGTGTAGTAAGATAAGCTTTCGTATTGCAGACTTGGTGTTCAGTGCGAGAGACCGAGCCGGGAATACTACTCGCCGGGCTGACGACTCTAATGCACAGAGAGTCACATGGGTGGGGGTGTTTGTGTTGTTTTGTCGATAGTCTAAGTACTTAAGATCTCTGCTCTCAACTATACGTTACGGGCTGCCTCTCGTTCCCCCGCCATTTTTGCGCGCATTTTGAAGACATTTATCGTCTTGGGCGAAATATGCCTCTTCCTCCCGATCCTGTTGAGATCCGAGGTGGGTGCAACTGCGGAGCCATCAGGTACAAGATCAAGGTGCCGGCTTTTGACGAGCGGCCAATTCACTTCACTTTCCCATCTGCTGCCAAGGCGGACCCTGCCACGCCGCGGCTGCCTCTTATCGCGACGGACCTGTGCAACGACTGCCGGTCCGCGACGTCCTCTATCTTGCCGACCTGGATCCTGTGTCCGGGCGACTTCTTCACTATTTCATGTCTGCCCAAGTCTACCGGCGATGACGGCGCGCCGCCGGCACAGCTGCACAAGCGGCCGCTGGTGAACCGCGCCGTCGTAGCCAGCGACGACAGCGGCAGGCCGGCGTTCGTCCCGGCGTATGAGATGCTGCGCGGGGGGCGTCCGTCGCAGGACACGTGGCTGCAGCTGTACGTCTCGACGGACGAGGAGACGAACCACAAGACGGGGCGCGACTCGTTCCGCAGCTTCTGCGGGCGGTGCGGGACCAACATCGCCTACACGGTGGCGCCCATGCCGCCGGGGATGCCGGACAGTAAGCAACTTTTGGAGTTTATTTTCACCTCTTTTAGCCATGTTTGGTGTAATGGAGACAAAGCCACCGTCCTAATGTGGGCGGCCACTCCCGGAACATCCCTTTTCAAGCCCTTTCAAGCCTTTCCCTACTCTTTCACTGTCCTCAAAAGGCAATTACTGACTCCCGATGTTGCAGTGATCGATGTCATTCTGGGGGCGGTAGACCGCGAGCTGCTGGAGCAGGACTGGATGCGGCCGGAGCGGCACCTCTGGTGGCGGTATGGTGTCCCGTGGGTGCAGGATCTCTTGATGGGTGGGCTGCCGGCGCCGAGGCACCCGATCTATAGTGTTCATGATGTCGTGCAGGATGAGTTCAAGTTATGACAGCGTCAGCGGTCTTGACGGGGGGTTTGTCTGGTAAGGACAGGGCTGCGTAAAGGGATGAGCGTTAGTTGTGGTATGGTTTTGATTTATCGTCCTAAATAATACATTGGATGCTTCTCTATCACTATGCACAAAAAGCCGGAGTCTTGAAGCTTGACTTTGGAGTTTTATTGCTTTTCAAACACAGGCATGTAGTTGAGCGGACATGCTATAGTGAGGCTCCCTTCCAGGATCTTGGCGCCAAGATTGCCATCTGCCCCCAATTGCCGCCACCTGGACCCCTGAGGGAAGTATACAGTCCGCTCTCGCTGTCCAGCCTTGAGGATGGGCGTCACCAGATACTTCGGCCCGAACATGTACTGGTCGTCAATCCTCCACGCCTTTTCGTCCGCAGGAAAGTCATAAAAGAGCGGTCTCATGACCGGATCGCCGTGGACATGTGCGGTGTGCATCAGCTCGCGTACATAGTCGCGCAACTTCTCCCTCAGGGCGAGATATGTCTTGCAAATCTGATAGATCTCTTCGCCGTACGACCATACTTCGTTAGCAGCCCCAGAGAGGCAATGACTTCCTCCGGTTGGGCCATGTCTCGGTTGTTTGGGTTCCCTGTCTCCATGTAGTCTGAAGACAGGGCAGAACGCACCCCATTGGAACCACCGAGCGAAAAGCTCCCGGAACTCTGGGTCGTTCGGATCACCGCCGTGAAAGCCTCCTATGTCTGTCGTCCACCATGGGACTCCGCTCAGCCCGACGTTGAGACCGGCGGACAACTGATCGCGGAAGCTACTCCAGGAGCTGGCTATGTCGCCGGACCACAGAAGGGCGCCGTATTTCTGAATGCCTGGCCAGCCGCACCTGATCAGGTTGACTACTTTATCCTGACCTGCCTGCTTTTGGCCCTCGTAGAAGGCGCGGGCGTAGTCTACAGGGAATGAGTTGCCAATCATCAAGTTCGGCCCGCGGTGGTATCGATATATATCGAAATCGTATATCTAGTTTCCCTATGTCAGTCTTTAGACTTCTGGAAAACCGAGACCATGTCGCCAAAATATCTTTGCGACTTACCGAATACTCTGGTTCTGCCTCATCAAGCCAGAAAACCTTGACGCCCTTATCGTAGTAGTGTGCTTTTGCTTTCTTCCACACATACTTCCTCGCCTCTGGATTCGTTGCGTCGAAGTGAACAGTGCCTCCTTGCCATTCGACTGAGGCTCGCCAACTTCGATCCTGACGGATGAGGAGTCCCTTCGATAACATTTCGTTCCAGTTCTCGGACTCCCTATCTACGGTTGGCCATATTGATACCATAAGCTCAATCCCGAGAGACTTCAGCTCTGCGATCATAGCATCTACACCTTTCTGTCAGTATTGTACCTCGAAATCTTGTCAGGGGTACACCTACCAGGATCCGGCCAGAAAGTGGGGTCGAACTTCCATTCACCCTCCTTTGGCCAATGGAAGAAGTCTACCAGGGATGCTGTCACGCCTAATCAAGACTGGATCGTCAGCCCTCATCCTTGCTGCAAGGGACTGTACATAGCAGGAGGTGGTTCATTCCATAGTTGGAAATTTTTGCCCACTATCGGGAAGTACGTCACGCGAATGCTGAAAGGCCAGTTGACGCCAGAACAAGCGCGGAAATGGGCTTGGAATCGCAAGGATGAAGGCGCAGCTTGTGTGATGTATATCCCACAGAATGATTTGGAGGACTTCATTGAGGCTTGAAAAATTGGCATTCCATCATGTGTACTTGCAGCTTGAGCAAAGGACATAAAACACGCTTCAATCAATGCCTTCCACATTACAATAACCTAATGATCTATGACCATCCATCCGAACAGAAACGTTCACCCCGCTCTACTCACTGATCTTGCTCTATTAGTACTCTCACGATTTCCTTGTAAGCTTGCATGGTAAGGCGGATCTTCTGCCAGTCCGTCCTGTTGGGCTGCGAACTTGTTTTGGCCATCACGACCCGATTCTTGTAATCCACTAACAGAAGTTGTCCATTGGTTCCGGATGACATCAAGAAGCGGCTGTCTTGGTCCACAATCCAATAGGACCGGTATGCGACGGAGTCGAAAATGCTCTCATATTCTTTCTTCTCCGAGCCAGCGGCAAATGCGGCCTGGGACCCATTATTCAAGATATCCTCGATCCAACGCTGTGGGATATACCTTGACCATTGTCAAGGATCACCTGACCAAGGCGAGCAATGTCGCGAACAGAAGCGCATATTCCGGCCGCAGCCCGAGCATTGCCGTTACGGTCCACTGTAATATAGGCAGCGCTTTCGGCTCCCATCGGTTGCCAGATGGCTTCACTGAGTAACTCGGCGAGCTTCTTGCCCCCCGCTCGTTCGATGACCCAGCCCAGAAGGTCGGCGTTTGGAGAAATGTATTGGAATGGCGGACCATCCAGTCCATCTCCAGGCGCAGACGGTGAGGACTGTATGGTGGGAATGTATTTATGTAGATCTGTTGGCTCTTCATCCGGCTTCAGTGGATACAACCCTGTAGCCTTGCGATATTCTGGTGATGCGTCATCGTGCTCGACGACAGATCTCATGTCCAGCAATTGCTGAACCGTCACATTTTCATACGCAGATCCCTTGACTTCCGGAACATATGAGAAGACTGAATTGTTCACATCCAATTTGCCTTCTTCTACAAGGATGCCACAGAGAAGACCAATGACCGATTTTGATACCGAAAACAATGCGTGGATGGATGTTTCAGTATTAGTCCGACCGTAATGCTCACAAACGACAGCACCATCCTTGAGCACGACAAGGCCGTCCGTCTCGGATTGCGAAAGGAAAGATGGTAAATCCAAGGTTGATTTGTCTGGTAGAGTAAGCCGGAAGTCCTCCAAACTGCACGACTCAGATCTCAGAGTGGTCACTTCAGGACCTTTACTGATCGGATCTGTTTGAACGATCTTGCTAACATTCTGAAACCCCCAAATGTTGTGATTCGGCTCGCGCCAGTTGGAAATATCCACAGGCATACTGTTTTTTTTTTTGTAGCACCAAGATGAATATGCTAACAAGTTCGTCTTTGATTTGAAGAAAAAAGCTCAGCTGAGTTCCCCGCCGACTTGGTCGTGAAAAAACGTTCCTGACAGCAAGGCACGGAAAAGAAGTTGTTCTAGTGCCGAACCATCTTGTCCTTAGTGCTTGGTGAACGACGTTGACAATGTGGCATGCTAATGGACATTTTGTCAAGTTTCTGAGCGCAATAGAGTCTTGAGAAAGAGTGGAATTGATCTGTCTAAGTAACTGCTTTCTCAGAGGGCAATATCTATACAGAACGCTATATAATTGACCAATCAGGGGGGTCTGCCCGAATGCCTTCGGCCAGATCTGCAGTTTGCTAATAGTGCTGTTGCCAACTCACTGAGATGGCTCTTTCTCCTGCAGTTTGACAATAAATCACTGAAAATTGGCGATGTGGCCTACAGGCTAATTCGCCGAAGTCACCGGTCACATTTGACACATTAGACAGCAGCATTAGACAGTCGCGGACACAAGGTTGGGCTTGAGTTCCTAACCACAATGATCTTCCTAAAGATTTAGAAAATCAGAACATACAGAACTTTGGTGCAACTCTTGTGGTCTGGCCTTTTTTTTTTTTCTTTCTTTTTTTTTTCCCCATTGCTACGAAATACATCAGAACTTAAGACACTATGGATAAAAACTGCTCCTATCTTATTAGACAGATAGTGTGCGACACATGCGGCGTGTCAGATAATGAGGGAACACAAACGGAGCCCGGCAGGTATCGTACGATATATAGCGAGAGGACGTGCATATGGCAGAGCGACGAATAATGCATGGAATCCTCGTTGAAGTGGCATGTACTGGCAGAAAAGGACCCTGTGTGTCTATTTGGAGTCGGGATTGCCCGAAACGACTGCCTGTTAGAGCTCTCGCAAAGAGTTGATAGCTGTCAGTTCGCCTTTCATGGCACTGCCAACTCGACTAAACCGTGTTCGTAGGCCATCTGTGCTACCCCGTGCGTGCCCAAGATTTGGACATACTACGCCACTATCAGACGGAAGACTGTAGGTTACACTTAGGGTGGCTTGTGCAAAAGAAGGCGGAAGACTGGTGCCTCTGCTGACTGATCTCCTAAGGACCAAGAAAAGAACAAGGTTCAATCCCTCCGCAAGCAAGCCCAGGCCGATCAGGCTTTACTTATACAAGGCCAGCAGGATCTCGGCAAGAGAGGGGGGAGAAGGGAAAGCGGGGATCGTCCTCAACAACGAACAAACCGAAGAAATGACGGAATCAAGGCGTGGGCTTTGGCTGCATGTTGGATGCCTACTTCTCATTTCATCTGCAAATCCATTGGTGGGACAGATACTGTACGAGGATCAAGTGAGTGCTGATTGCTAGATTAGGTGGTATGGGAAGGGCGAGGATGGGTAACCCCTAGCCTTTGTCATATTAGCCTTATTGAATTACTTTTCGTTGTTACACAAGATTACATTCCTAACCATGTGTGGCGCACTTATTTTGGATTGTAAGACAAGCCCTGTGGTGGTCCGACATTGTCGCAGCCATTAAAGCAATTCGTGTGCACTGCCTATATATCACACGCGATCGAGTCTAGGTCGTGCCGAATCTTGGAACTCTCTCACATGTTACTATGGAGGGCTTGAGGCGTTCGACCAATCCGAGATCTGTTGTGCTGACACTTTAGGCAAACACCCGAATGCAGGGCCACCAAAAGCGTTATTCACAGAGTTTCAAGAAGATAGTGGATGAGCCATAGAATAATAGAACAGATTGTGGTACGAGGTAGATTGATGTAAAAATATTGATCATGTTTTGTATGAACTGCTTAATGCGTATTACCCACTGCATTGTCCCTGAAACTCGCCAATGAATAAGGCTGTTGTTTCCATTGTGAAACTCTGGTAAATATGCGTGATCCTCAGACAACAGAGGTTGCCATTGTAGTAGACAGAGGGACATGAGCATGTACCTTTCGTCC